GAATATTGTTCGTTATCTCTATATCCTTCTTACTGAGATTTAGCTGAAAAAGATTTTGTATTTTTATCATTACTAATATGGAAATAATACAACCAAACTGTTTTTGGCATTGTAAAGTTAGTAATAAAATGGTTATCTTATATATGATTATCAGCTAAATATGCCGTATGATCTGAATGCAACCAACCAAAGTCTGAGTGGCTGACCGCGTGAGGATACACGGCTGGATGAGACATTATTCACAAAAGTGGCGATATACAACCCAAGACTCCAAAAATATAACGAATTTTTAAAGTTGTGCAAATATCATTTATCTTTAATATTATCATGGAATTTAATGTAATTTTAACTTAGAGTTGCTTTTTATTTGCATGTCTATGATTTTTTTTTTGCCTTAGATCTGAAGACAAAAACAGCAATAATACCAGGACAAGAATCCAATGCCCAATTTCCAATTGCAATATGTGGCACAAACAACCAAGGATTCATTCCCAGAAATACCACAAATTCAACAAGCATTCTGAAAGTATTGCATGAGCAATACATGTCCCCTACCGGGTTCCCCTTTTTCTTCAGGATGTCATTTTTTAATGTGCAAAAGTCATGTCCAAGGTTAAACTGAAAGATTTTCAAGTTGTATATGCTTTAAATCTAAAAAATAATAAACATTAAGACGACAATTCAACTCATTTATCCATTGTCTTTTCCTCGCTTCATATTGAGCGAGTTCGATCATCGACTTTAGTTACTATGTTTCGACTAAACCGTGATCGAACTCACTATAGTCAACGGATGTTACATCATTTTGGCCACTAAAGTCAGACCCACGTGTTTACTGTGGTTGATGTCCAGTTTTAATGGCTGCCAAAAATGTCGGAGGTGAAGTAAAGCTTTTTATTTTTACATAGTATCTTTTTGTATATTTGTTTAATGGACATAGTTGTCAGATTTACTACACACAAACTTGTAATACAGACAGTGTATTTCCATATCCTTATTTAGAGGAATGTTTTAACATTGAAATTTAACTTTAATGTCATTTAGTGTTCAAAATTTGTGTATAAAAAGACATACTTAATTAAGTCACATGTACTGACCTAAGTTTTGTTAAGATGGCAATATCTTAGCAAGCTTCTAGTGTTTAAATTTTAAAATTGTACTTTTAGCTCTTCTTAAACATGGTAAAAGATAAAATACCCTTTATGTTACAACCACCTGATAGCTAAAGTATAGTCTAGAGTATATGTCTTTCTTTCTTTTTGGTTAAAACTGTAAGAAAATAAGGACAAATGATGCCCTGTTCACACTTGCATTAAATTAATGCGAAGTTTGTAAACTAATGCATTAAAATTAATTAAGCTTTATGCGAAACATTTTTTTTTCTTCTACAATCAGTCATTTTGCATTTGTATGACGTCAATCAATCCTTTGATACATCATGTAGTGGCTACAGGTATTCATTGATTTTAGTGATTAACATACTTTCCCTCAATTTTTGAACCAAATATAGCACAAATACCTATATATAACCACCAACACGTGTCCTGTGACTTAATTCTGGCCTTACGCATGTGTCAAACTTTAATTCGAATTAGCTTCACTTAGCGTTCACATGGAGCTAATGCGAAGTAATTTAATGCACAGTAAACTAATTCGAATTAAACTAATTCGCATTAAATTCAAAGCAAACAGGTTTAATTCGAATTAAACTCTCCGTGTGAACAGGGCATGAGACACTTGCTTGGATTTGTATGATTTTAAAAGCTTTATAAACATTTTGTCATTTTGCAGATGAAATCAATTGTTAATGTGCATTGTGTTGTAAATATTCTGCAGTCAAAACAAACAGGTAAATACAGATAGAAGTTGCGTGTCATAATGTGCATTATGTGGTGATAAATACCACAAACAATGGCATTGTTCTTAACTATCATATAGTGCCCATACATTACATATACAGTCACTTTGACATATCCATGGTATTTGAGATATCTCTGTTTGAAATACCGAAGTTCAACTTTAATTACCTATAACCATACATGGACAGTTGAACTTAGGTATCTCTCTTCAGATATTTCAAAAACCATGGAATTGTCGAAGTAATTTTAAAGTCCCAACTACTTATTCCTTGAGTATTTTACCTTGGATACATGTATCTCAAATCCTTGGATATCTTGAAGGTTTTTCTCAGTCCCTTCAAGTTCGAGATAATGAGGTTGGACTGTATATACCTTGTAATTGAAGATCTCAGCAAAAGAATAAATATTAATTCTTTTATATTTTTGGGGGTTTAATTGTTTATCGGGGTCTGTGATTTCTTTCTAAATATTCATGTCTCATACATTTCAAACAGATATATGACTAATAGATTATATTACAAGGAAGTATTTTTAAAATTCTAGGTATTAAAAAGAGACAGAGGGAACTAAACTACAAAGCCCCTTCTAAATCACTAAAATTTTACTCTAGATCACTTAATTTATTTGACACCTTATTTTCATTAAAAAGATATTCACTAGACAATATTCTCAAATCGTGAACTGGTTACTGATCTGTATGATCTTTAGGAATACTAATTACATGTATGTGAGAATTATCTTTTTGCGAGCAAATTTTCCTGTGTAATTACACAAAAATAAAGTTCTCAGAACTAAAGTGATTTACAGTAATGTGTTCTATCGTAGGGCCTTGGAACTCAACCCAATTTTTCATTTTCTGATCCAAAGTTCTCCATACATGTAATCAATGTTTCTTTCATTCATTAATATTCCTCAAGGATGCACTGTCAACTATAAATATGACGTCATTGTGAACATAGTGAAAATTCTCAATAATTAAGTGCATCTTAAATAGAATATTTAGCAACTGCTGCTTAGATTGTATAGTAGGTTAAGTAGTAAATGAACTTGAATACTTAATTTTCTATATGATTTTTGTTGCAGATCCATCAGTTAAAGACATGATTACCAAAAGTTTGTTGAATAGTGTACAAAGTAAATCATCAAGTCAACCCTCCATGACTACCTCTTCCCAGACTAATTCTTTGTCACTAAGAAATTTAAGTACAGTACCAAAGCAATCGACTACCTCATCTGATGCCTTCTGTTCAGAGCAGGATACCTCCTTGCCCTCACAAAGAAGAGTATTACAGTCAATACAGTGTCGCAACACTTCTCCATCCATGGCCATCACTAGTAGTCAGACTACATGTAGCACATCAACGTCACAGGAGCCTGAAGGTACCTCTCAGTCCTCTGTCCACACTTGGAAAGAAAACGAAGAGGATATGCTTGTTTCTCTAAGGCATGATCATGAAATGCACAACAAATTCTTAAAATCCAAAAATCACAACCAGTTGTGGATGGACATAAGCAGTGAAATAAATAGACAATTAAAATGTCATACATGTATAACACCAACCCAGGCTGCTAATAAATATAATAGTTTAAAGAAGAGATGGAAAGAGGTAAGAGACAGTGGGACAGGCACAGAAAGGAAACATTTCAGACAGAAGGAGGCATTCGATGTCATGTTTGGCACAAAGGCCAGCACAAAACCTTCTTTCATAGTTGATACACTGAAAGAAGGTGAAAATTCAAAATGCATCAATGAAGAAAAAAAATGTTCTGAAAAAGGGAAGGAAAGAATTCAAAGACCTGTGAAGAGAAAATCCCAAGAGTTGATGGATGTTCTGAAAAATCAACACACACAATTCCAAGAAAAAATTCAAGAATTCCACGGGGAACAAATGCAACGTATGGACCGAATGTTAGATTTATATGAAAGAGAAATTGAGTACAAAATGTCAAAACATGACAAACGATGAAGCAAAATCTAATGGATATATCAAATTCAAATGTTAATAACTATTATGACAATTTTTTTCTTTATTTTCTTGTCAAATAACAAGGTAATTATGGGTATCATTGTACCTATGTCTGACATTTAACATTAATTTTCTCATTTGGCCAAAGTTTTCCATTTTAATCCTTCTCTCAGGAGGAGGTATGTGAATTATATGCTATTAAATGTATAAATACTTTTATTTAAATTTGGAATAGACAGTGAATGTCTTCAATGTTAATTTTTTTTTTATTGTATTGACATGTGTCTTGAGGAACAAGTTTCTAAACACAAATAAATAAGTTAAAATTTTTGTTTTACTTTTGTTCCAGAATGTATAAAAGGAGGGTAAAAAAATATTGGTTTGTTCGTCTGTTAAAAATCCTCACTTCAGCTAGCATCTTGTGACATATTTTGGCTTAAGCCATGAAGCTTCAGAGTTTACAGTAAAAAAGGACCCCTTGGTTTTCACAGTATTTAAAATGATTCATTTATTTTAGTATTTATTTATTCATTTGGTATACTACAAACGTTGGTACAATACATTTTTTGGCAAGCTAATATTTTAATAATTTCAGGAAAATGATTCAAAACTGTGATGACTTGATAATGACAACATCTCGGTACTTGACTAATATACATGTATATATGTGAGTACTTGTATATACAGTTGAACTTCAGTATCTCGAACACAGATATCTCAAATGGCATGGATATTTCAAAGTGATTTGGAAGTCAAAACCCTGTAATCTCTTTTAGTATTTTACCATTGATATCTTGAATCTTCAGATATCTCTATTTTTTCGGTCCCATTGAGTTCTAGATAACAAGGTTTAACTGTGGTACCAAAATGCATAATAATGGCGATTATGTCTGCAGTTTTTTCACTACACGGTAAAAGACAGCCATAGTTGATTAAAAAATAAAAACAAATGTATGAACTTGAACATGAAAGAGGTTGTTAAAGATTATGCTGATACATATGCTCCATTGCAAATCCAAATGTAGATGTGTGTATAATATTGAAGAAATTAAGTTTTTAAACCAGCATTTGTATTGATTATCTTGAAGACTTTCAACACCTGTGTTAAATACATTTATTTCATGGTTCATAAGTATGGTTATTGGTCAAATAATAACCCCCTGAGAAGAAAAAGAACATCTGGAAAGTTTACTTCTATACACAGATCAGCACACTTCATTGTTTAAATTGTGTTGAAAAAATTAAAAAAACCATTTCCTGATCTTTTTCTCCGGTTATAATTAAAAACTCCACTGTTGGAAAAAAGCACAGAATATGTGTTAATACAGGTTACTCATGAATATAAATAATATTAAACTGACCATGTCATCAGAGCATACAAATGCAACATATATATACACATCTGTAGTTGCAGTGTAAATGAAATTTAAAATGAAATAAGCATCTGATTATGAAATTTTAACTGTGGAATGTTCACAAGCTGTAAACGTCTTATTATGAAATTTAAACTATGGAATGTTCACAAGGTATAAACGTCTGATTATGAAATTTGAACTGTGGAATGTTCAAAAGGTGTAAACGTCTGATTATGAAATTTGAACTTTGCAATGTTCACAAGGTGTAAACGTCTGATTATGAAATTTAAACTATGGAATGTTCACAAGGTGTAAAAGTCTGATTATGAAATTTAAACTATGGAATGTTCACAAGCTGTAAACGTCTGATTATGCCCTCCTGTCCATTCTGATAGATGTTCATATTTTGATTTGGGTCGTCATCTGGATCTCGATGTATGTAATCATCAATATTATCTGCATTATCTATGCACAGGTTGTGTAAAATGCACACAGCATGAATAACATTGCAGATTTCTTCGATGTTGTGAAGTGGAATTTCCTGGATCCTTCTAAATCTTCCTTTCATATGACCAAATGCCCTCTCAACAGTTTGGCGCACTAATGATAGTCGTTTATTAAATCTTACTTGCTGCGGGTTTAAGTTACCAAAATTTTTGAATGGAACAATAAGCCAGTTTCTAAGAGGATAAGCACTGTCCGCTAAAATATGGTGACCCTGAAGGACAGATTCCCCTGCTTCGGCTGCTCTATATAAAGATGAATTGCGCAGGACTCGAGCATCATGGACGCAGCCTGGCCACCCGGTATATATGTTTGTGAATCTCATTTCATGGTCAACCACAGCCTAAAACCAAGATTTAAAACTGAAATGCTGGTAAAGACACTGGGAGATACATTCATAAACTGAGAAATTTTATTAAATATTACCCTTCAATAATTGAAATTAATTTAATCATTATTTTAATTTTTTTTGAAAAGTATTCACCTGTAGTTGTAATGATGGGTAACCCTTCCTGTTGTAATAATCCCGATCACCTTTCAGAGCAGAAGAGAGACGTACATGGGTTCCATCAAGAAACCCAATTATACCAGGTAGTCTACACACCTGCTGTACATCATTTGCAATGTCCCGCTGTCTGTTCGCAGAAGGCCAAACTATAACCTGAAAAGGTGATGAGATGAATGTATCGTTCCTAGTTACTTTAAAGTGAATAAAGTGCATGCATGTCTTCTAATTTTCAAATGTATATGAAGAGATGAAATAGATACTATAAAAAACTTCACATCCTTATATCTATAAACAATCAATACATGTTCATAAAATTACTATAGACTGAAGTGAGATGCGATTTGCACTAAAATTCATAGTACTGTGGTTTTATCAATTTTCGTTGGCATCAATTTTCATGGATTTTGTAAAACAGACATTTTAGAGGATACGTAATTTCGTGGACTAAGACATTGCCTATGCAAATGAATAACATATTTCTTAATTCAATGAACATTGAATTTCGTGGATCTGCTCAACAACGAAATCCTCAAAAATTGGTGCTCAACGAATATTGATGAAACCACAGTATCTTTCAAGGTACTTACCCTTACACTAAGATGCTCTATTATTGCACTGATCACCCTGAATATAGTTTCATGGACTGTTGACTTGGAAAGTCCAAAGATGTGAGCAACTTCCCTCATTGATGACAAGTTGGCAAGGTACCACAAAGTCAACAAAAGTTGCCTATCTGGAGTTATTGCTTCATATCTGAAATAAAAACATGCACCCACTTTAACATCTGAATGATGATCAACTTCGTCATTTCTTTACTGCATGTTAGAAAAAAAATTGTAAAACTTCTATGGTGTATAACACTGGTCCAGCCGAAAGACTATTTCTACCTATGTATATTTAATATTATATCTAACCTACCCAAAATAGCTATTTTTACCTACTTTCTGCTTTACTTGCATTTTGTGGCCAAACGCAGGAATAGCGCAATATGGTGAGCACATAATTTCTTGATACAGTCATACTGATGATGGATATAATAAAAATATGGCAAAAAAAACGATTACTTTGAATATTATAAATTTTGCGTAGAAACTAATGTAAAATTGCCGATACATGAAGTAATAATATTTGGTCTTAAAGTTATATATCATTTATTTAGTGTTACTGTATTTTTAAAAAAATGTTATTTACCATTTTGTGCCATTCGGTCTTTTGGCCACAAAATGCAGATAATACAAAAAGTAGGTAAAAATAGCTACATTGGGTAGGTTTAAAATGGTCTTTACTTAACCAGTCCCCAATTCTGCAAGATCCTTGCGCTAATTGGACTATGTTATAACAACTACATCACTCAACTGAAATGGATTAAATTTGCACACTATTCAACTAATATTAGGGTTATTCTTCACTCTTGCACCCACCTGAGAGATTAGGGTTAGTCCTTGAACTAGAACACAACTGATTAGGGTTAGTCTCGCATCCATCCGAGAGATTTGGGTAAGTCCACGAACATTATTCAACTGATTAGGGTTAGTTTAGCATCTGCCCAGGAGATTTCATCCAAACATCTTAGTCCAATGCATACCATCCGATGGATTAGGTTTAGTGACTCGTTCTTTTAGATAAGTTAAGAAAGTTAGTTGTTTCTGTAATTTTTCCAAGATCATAATTCAGTTTCAAAGGCATTTCGTTCTGTATATAAAAGCAACTCTCTGCCCTAGCACTTCAGTCTTGTCAGTTGTCAGATAAGTATGTATACTACAGTGTACTAGTCAGGGGAAAATCAACTTTTTTTATATACACGAGCCTTTGGATCATACCTTCCAGTACCTCCCAACTTTAAAGTCTGGTAAACCTCCTGTAAGACTATTTCAAATAAGTTCCTACTTATTCTGAAGTGAGCAGAGAAATCGTCTATGTTTTCTGGAATTTCAAAGTTTGGATACACATCCTGCATGTAACTGGTTATTTTTGGCACCGAATCTCTGGACTGAATCAAGGCCAAACTAACAGTCTTGGCTTGGAGCCTTGCAAATTCCTGTGCGTAAATGACATGATTTCCTTGGATGATATTGAAAAACGTTAAAAATTTGTTACACACCGCCATGACAGGAACTACGGTTTGACTAATGCACGTTTGATCAGAAACGAAAGAAACTCATCTTCCGGTAATAGACTATAGTCGACGATCGAACTCGCTCACAATATCATGTTGAAAGTGTCGGAGGATGGAAAAACATCACCAGAATTCCTTGACATCTTATATTCGTTTGCAAATGAAGATAATAACGAAAAAGATTCATTGATAAGTAGAAGACCAGTATGCCCTAGATGTTGGTAATTAGTTACCTATATTGCCCAGAGTAAATGTCATTTTAAATATGGTATCGATAAATAAAAACTAAAATACAGACAGGGCTTTTCACAAAACATTGGACTTCTTTACTAAATATAGTCACAAAATGGGAAATTAGCCATTTAAATGATGGGATTTTTCTTTGTTTTGAACCTGGATTTACCTTCAGTAGGTTTTATGAATTTTATCATATTGGAATGATCAGGAAGAAATTTCCATTCCTGAATGCCAATACATTTTTTAAACAATTATTTATTAGTGTGCTAAGAACACAAAAACAATGTTTTTTTTATATATACTTGTATATGTAGTTATTTACAGAGTCTAATTAATCTAATTTTATTTCTTTATTTTCCTAGTCGTCCAGTGGCTGTATGTTTGTGTCCATATTTACCAGAAAGTCCAGTGTCTATAGAAACCAATGTCTTTATCCTACAACATCCTCTTGAGGTTAGTTCATGAATCTTTATAGTAATTTATGGACATAATAAAACTATACAGCAAGAGAAAAGATGAATTTCTAACTCTATCAAATGTTGTGAGTCTAGTTGCACTATCGTTTTGAATGATATTATCACTATGTGTTTAAGTTTTTGCTAGCGCTCTTGAGCGCTAGCAACTACGTTAGTCCATACCTGTCAACATTGCCAAAATTTTTCGGGGGAGAAAATGCGCGACGACCTTTTGCAAATACAAAAAGTCGCGCATTTCACTGTTTTATAGAACAAAAATAAACAACTTACAAGATAAAACTTTATTATTAATATTAACATTATCATTAATTCATAAAATTTACTTCTTATTCATACATTATTTAGAAAGTTGTACAATATGATTTAATTTTGAAATTATAAAAATTTATGTTCACTATATATTCTGCCTGTCCATAAGAGCACCATTTATATAATATTCATGGCAAATGTTGTAGTCTAACTTGGCAATTAGAAAAATTAATGAGGTACTGCAGAAAGTCTGTGTTTCCAGCTTTTAATAGATGTATGAATGGATATTTCTCTCCAAGTCTAAGGAACATGAGTTGTGTCCTGGATTTAAAGATCTGAAATTGAAATAATTGTCAAAACTTCAGGCTTATATTCTTAAAATAATGTGTAATCTAGTATGAATGAAATACATGGACACTGTATTTTTTTTTCTTTTAATCTCATAACATATATCAGAATTTTTAAATATAATACTTTAGTTCTAATGTGCTAATTTTATATTTTAATTTAGAAATGCATTACCCTGTTTAGCTTTGTAAATTTAAAGAAGTCTTCTAAAGACACTGTCTTGTTGCTCTGTAGTTTCAGGGGCTGTTATATGCTGATGTTGATGCAGGATTTACTAAGACATTGAATCTCAAAATTTGTGGGGAAATCTTCAGACTCTTCATTTATATTAGCTTCCATGGAATTGTTTCCCTCTCCTTGTTAAATTAATAATAGAGTACTGTAGCTACATCTTTCCTGATCACTGAATTGTTTATGGAGAAATAGTTTAGTCTTAGGCACTTGTAAACTTATTTGCAGCAAAGTATCAAGTACTTCCATATCGTTATTTACCGTCATGTTCTGTGAAAATTTTCACATCTGGCATCTCTGTCTTTGATAATATACACTTTTAATGAGAATAAGGAGCAATTACAACTGCAATTACATCTGCTAGCACAGTTGACACCTTGTTGATTACCTGTTATCAGTGGCAATAAACAGATTACACTGCATGACCTCCATTTTTGACTAGTCGGTATTTTGCGAACCCAAGTAGGTAAAAAAATCTGGATTTTTTCAAAATCGGTAGAAACGGCAGTTAAAAAAAAATCGGTAGACAGTCGGTAGGGATGGTTAAAAATCGGTAGACTCCCGATAAATTCGGGAGAGTTGACAGGTATGTTAGTCCAAATTCCTTGAATACGCATGCTCGGCTTCACGGTCGTGCATTCTGGGAAAACTGAAAATTACTATAGATAGACCGTACGATAACAATTTCGTTGTATCATGTTGTAGCATTAAATTACTATGTTTGTTTATTGTGTAGCTTACACTTTAAAGATAAGTACATATTTGTAATACTTCAAATTTTCCGGGTTTTTTTTTCTGACGGAAAAGCCCTTGTCATTATATGATTGTTCTATACAAAGGCAAGGGTGTTTTTTTTTTAAATCTAAGCACAACCAAAGATAGACTCTAATTTCTGATTGGTCAATTCAGCCAATCTTACAAATTCCAGAAACAAGAATTTACACTAAAAATAAACGAATAAATCCATTATTTATATAAAAAAAATTCTAATGTGTATGGCTTTTAACCTACAGTAAAACTCGTTTAGTACGAACACATGTATAGTGAATTTACATATATAGCGAAGTTTCTCGGGGTCCCATGCAAAATTCTTAACAATTCTTTGTAAAAATTTTACGTTTATAACGAACTCGGATATAGCGAATTTATGGATATAGCAAACTAATTTTGAGTCCCTTAGAGGTTAAAAATAATAATATTTACATCTTTTATAATGAATTTTAAAAAATCTCAAAGGTAGATATATTGAATTGACTTTATTTTTAGAAAGTATATGCAAATGAAATTCAATTTGTAATGGAAAACCTCAGTAAGTCACGGTATGTTTAAGAAATAAAGTCCGCGTTTTCATGAATGTTGCAGAATTACCTCCGAGGTCGAGAAATGTTGTTTGAAAGATAAAAGCTGAGGCGCTAGCCGAGGCTTTTATATTTCAAACAACATTTCGAGACCGAGAAGGTTATTCTGCATCATTCACGACAACAAGGACTTTATTTCTATGCTACCATGTATGGTACAAACGCTAAATTAAGGATAATCGTTTCCTCTATAGAGAAACGAATTAGGTCACCATGTCTCGATTATGCTTTTTCATTTAACACTAGAGGTAAAATTTGTTTGCTTACCTGTGTATAGAATGCAGACGATTTGAGCTTTCATTACATTAAAAATAGCCATTTAAAATTACAAATATGTTCATAATATGTATTGATCAGTTAAAATGAATATACAAAAACAAAATCATGTTCCTGGTTTACTGCTAAAATCACGTTGTTTAATGTGTAGGGAGGTCCGTGGAATAGCCCCGCTTAGCTATAAAAACTGACATTCATCAGCAACTTGATGCAATTTACAGTGTTTATACTGCAAAAAACAACGCATCAATGCGGTCTAAACAAGTATTTCATTCTATAGCCAAACATGCATTTGAATTGTTAAGATTTGATACGTGTTTCTGATCTGATAATTTTTTGATGACGTTCATGATTTATTGGAGAATAATGTCCGGCGGTTTCCTTTGATGTTTACAATAACTGTGGTAGAATTTGTAATAATTGTTTCCCTACCATATTAGATTGTAATACTTGGAGGAAAACATGTATTCGAAAATTCGCTGTATAGTAATACACTTATACGAATTCGTTATACGGATACAACGAATTACGGATGTAGCGAATTAAATTCACAGGTCCCCAGGACTTCGCTATAACCGAGTTTTACTGTACCAGTTCTTGATAAAGATTACCCAAATGACCAAGCTACTTCACATTTTCACATTCGGGACTCTCTGGATTTCTTTATACAACATACACTTTGAGTTATTTTCTATATTCCTTTTAACTCCCCTGTATTTTCTTTGCTACATTGCCAAGAAATTCTATTCTTACACCAGCTCATACAATGCCTCAATTGGCATCTTCACCGTATTATATAGAGTCTCCCCCCTCTCCAGTAAAGGTCATAAATGTTCTGTTGCACCAAAACACCAATAGGTCTTGACCTATTATTAGGATTTTTGACTTTGGACAACTTCTCTCTCTCTCTCTCTCTCTCTCTCTCTCTCTCTCTCTCTCTTTTTGCTTGTCAACTTTTTCAGGTAAGTAAAAAAAAAATTTTCTCTGGCTGCCCCCCCCCTTTTCAAAATTGATGCTACATGGCTGCTCAACACCCCCCCCCCCTCGTTTCTTTACCTACATGTATGTGTCTATAAAATACACTTCACCAAGCAATTATAACTTTATCACACTCCAGCCTCGATAAAAATTAAAGAATTCAGCAGAATAAATCACTTGATCACGGATCCTCCTTTCTGTGTTTAAAAATTGCTACGGCGCTAGCTCACCTTTCTTTTTTAAAAGATAAACTTGTTGAAGATGATAAGCTTTTAGAAGGAAACATGTTGCAAACAATTTTTCCAAAAGTTTGAATTTTGAATGTACGTATAATTGAACAACTTTTTTACCTATTTTAGGAAAGCAGAAACTTGGCCACAGTTCCAATTTTATGTGAATGTTTACCCTCAGAAAAAGTACAAATCATCAAAGGAAAAAAATTCTCACCTCGCAGGTAAACTTATAGAATATTTAGGGTAAATTCACTAAAAATTGTTTTATATTGAAGATATTTACATTTAGATTTTGCTATTGTGTTAATGTTTTATTTTGATGTCTTATACATGGAGGGACTTACAGCTCTCTGTATGATTTTAGTTATTTAAAAAAAAATCAGTCTCTCTTTCATTTTAAGTTCAGAACATCTAGCTCACTTTGAAATGCATTTATTGTTGAGTCGCTGTTTGATAGGTTAAGATTTCATTATTTTTCCAGTCTTATAAGTCATACATGACTGTAATTTTTAAGTTTAGTAAATGTTGATACATATTTACTTCAGACACCCAAAGGTAGCTGAAATTCTTAAGAGTTCAAACACTCTCCTGTTGTTCCCTGACTCTGAGGCCGCTGACATTGAAACTATCCCCCCAGCACCAGATGGCCAGCCATACAACCTTGTTCTCTTAGATGGTACTTGGGGGCAGGCCAAAGGCATGTTCCTACATAATGAGGTGTTCTCATGGCCAAAAAAGGTGAAGTCCTAGGATTCATTGATTTATTTCTTTGGCTCACCTGAGTTAAAGACTTAACTGAGATTTACTGATCAAAATTTTCTGTCGCCTGTTTTTGTCATTGCAAACTTTTCACATTCTTGTTTTCTTCTCCTGGCCGATTTCAACCAATTTGCCATAAAACTTAGTTGAAAGGAATTCAGATTTGTTCAGTGCTGGTCCTTGTCCATTTTGAAGGGGAAAAAAATAAAAAAAAAATGTTGAAAATTTGATTGGGTCATCTTAAAATGACACTTGAGCAATAGCTTTCATACATTGTGTAGATCTAAGTTTGTCCAAACATTGGGGCTAAGATGGGACCAAGAATTTTGATATAATCTTTAAAAATCATGATCAGAACTTATTCCTTGCTTTTGATTGCTCCAATTCAATGTTGTTTACAAGTTTTACACAAAAAATAAAAGACACATGACCTTGACATTGTTGACATTGACAGTAAAAACTGCCTGATTAATACAACATTTGATTTGCTGGCACTTAATTTTGCAGTTCTTTTCTTCCTTTACAGTGCAGTTGAGTTGTAAAAGCTTCACCCTATTCATATTACACATAAATCTTTTGTTTTTACTTTTTAGATACAATTACATGTCTCTTAAAAAACATTGATTTTGACTCATAATGCAACTTTAAAAACAAAAATGATATATGTGTGTATTCCAGATTAGCTTTCAAGTAATCTAAGTACTTTTTTATTACAGATAAAACTGAATCATAGCTGTAAGAGTAAGTTTGTGATTCGTACACAACCGAATGACATGTCACTATCAACATTAGAATCAACAGCTATAGCACTCGCAGCCTTGGAGAGAAAGCCAGATATTGTGGATGTAAGTTCAAATTAAATACATTTTCAGTCTTTTAGAAGTCTACCATAAATTTTCCATATATTTATTATGCGCTCAGATTAATAGATCGGGGGGTATATTGTTTTTGTCCTGTACGTCTGTCTGTTAGTCTCTCTGTCTGTCTGTTGTCATCTTGAACCTTCGACATAACTTTTGAATCGTGAGAGATAGAGACTTAATAATTGGAATGCATACTCCACTAATTAAGCTCTTTCAAATGACACCAAGATCAATGACCTTGTCACCTTTGACTATGCTAAAAATAGCTTTTTTGAACTTTTGCCATAACTTTTGAACCATAGGAGATAGAGACTTCATTTGTGGTATGCATACTCCACTAATTACGTTTTTTTCAAATGACACCAAGGTCAATGACCTTTTGACTGATCTAAATGCTAGAAATTGCTTTTTCGAACTTTGTTGCCGCCGGGCGCATAATGTTTCACAAACACATCTTGTTTTTAGTGCATGGTTTTCTCCATGTAAGATAAGTTAATCCAGTGGAGTATCCTTTGAATCATTATTCAGACAATTCTACTCACCTATTAGTGCTGACAAATCACAGAAAAATTACCATATGACCTAAATAATTAAGTCTTGACTCTTGAAACAAGAATTCTTTTGTCAAGAGTAAAAATACAAAGAAGTTAACACAAAAATTTTCTACAGGAAAAAAAAAATCACAGGTCAGAGGTATTTTACAAATGCTGCCACCTTGCATTATGGAGCTGTATTTTTCAATCTAACTGTCATCTGGTAACAACTACATGTAATACTGAAAATAGGAGCTTTTATCCTACCCGTTCAAGAGATGGGTGCATATCATTATCGCTATATTTTTGAAATTTTCATTACTGCTACAAAAAATGTTACATTACCGCTACATATAAAGGTATACATTACCGCTATATTGCCTCTTTCATTAGCCATCAACTGTACAGATTGATTTAAAGTACAACACAAACGTCAAGTTTAAGTCCTGTTTCTCCTGCTCACCACGGTGAAATTAGGACTTTGAGAGGGATGGGTTTTTTTTTAACTTATTTTTATTTTTATTTTTTTCTATTACATAAAACACTTTAAAAATTTTAAATATTAAATTAAGCACTATCCATAGATAAAACTCACAGTCTTAACATTCTTCTGTTTAGATTTCAAATCAAAATTGTACTTCACTACATACTGAATAAATTCTGTTGAATGGAACTAATATTCCGTATCATACCCGGCAAGTTCAATATTTAGCGGCAATGAGTTGTTTTCGGATGGTTCAATATGTAGCGGTAATGAGTAGTTTTCGGCCAAAAAAATTTAGTGGTAATGATCAGTCGAAAATTTGAAAAAAATGTAGCGGTGATGAGTTGAAACTTTTGGCGATGTAGCAGTAATTCTGACCTCCCCTAGAGATGGCCAATACAGTGCCATCCAGTGCTCAGCTGAGTCAGCTCCCTTGGGATTGAGCCTTTTCTCAATTTGCATTTGTGCTGCTGTTTTTTTTTTTTTTTGAAGTTCAACTTGAATAAATAACAAAGCATTTTTAAATCTTTAATACATTATTTAAATACTTGATGTTTAGATGCTATTTTGATGTATATTTTTAGATTCTGACACGTCCTTTGGAAGCACTTTGTGATTTCCAAATTCAACATGGAGCCTGCAAACATGACAGCAAAGTGTTCAAAATAGAAAATGGACTCTGGAATAAGACTTTAAAAAAGAAATACTTAAAAAAGCTAGAAAAGGATGGCACATTAGGATCTCCACAAATTCCAAATTCTGAAGAACAGCCATCTTGACAATGACCACAGTTTAGAACATAATATAAAAATCATTACATGTAATACACATTTATCACAAGTTACAGTTTATGTACAAATATGCAAGGGACATGCTGTTATGTTCACATGGCAGTAAGAGAACAAATTGCAGAGTAAATTTAGTTTTTCTTTCTTCTTTTCAGCAATGATTGATTGTCTTCCATGTATCACAATTCTGTATTTCTAACTGATTCTGATATAAATACTGCAAGGTCTATACCTTGCTTTGTGTGAGATCTTAATACATGTATCCTGTAATGGCTCCTTAGACCTTAGACACTAAATCAAGAGAAGAGGAATTTCCAATTGAACTGTTAGTCCTTAGTTTTTAATTGTATTTTGGCTATATAGAAATAAGAGCTAGTAATTCTAATTCATTTTATAGGCTTCTTGCAAAATTACATGGTATTAAATTCTATGCATATAAATGTATTTAGGAATGTACAGTACACCTTAAATATTTCTGTTTCTGTGCATTTTCATGCCAATAGAGTAATCTGCCCTTTGGTTTGAAATAAAATTCATTGAGATGTAAAGCTTTTTACTTATGATCAAATGAAGCATTCAAAACAATGAAATTTTAAAGCAAGATTGGTTCATTGAACACTATTAACTTAAGTAAACAATTGATTTTTTTTCATCGATGCTATATTTTCTTTGAACATTGTTTCCCTGGCAGTAAAAGCAAGGTACCTTATGATAAAATGTTATAGAGCCTTTATAGGCTTTTATATTCTTATGTCCAAAAAATATTTTCTTTTGGTGTATATAAGGTATATAGATTTAAATAGGACTTTCAGCTTATGGGGAATGGACTTGCTACATAAACCTTTACCTGGTCTCTCATCTGGAAAATTTTAGCCTAATCATATATATGAAGCAACTCTGGTAGTGTCATCCCTAAAGGTGCATCATCTAGTTTGATCTAGGCTTGACTTTATGTTCCTTTGAAACATACTTGGTTAGAAAAACTTGAATCTGGTGATTCTGGTCAGTCATCCGAAAAATGTAGGTCAGATTCAGCATCTGAAGGAGCATCCTGATATGGATCAATCACATGTAATATTGGTCCAGATAAGCTTTTAGTTCTTTGAGAATGAACCTGCTCCAAAACTCGACCTGATCACTTTTCTAGATTAGGTCAAAATCCAGCATCAGAGAGAAGTTCATTCTTGGATGCATTATATGCAGACTCTTTTCAACCAGAAATCCACGTTAGGCTGTTGCCTTATGTAACTTTAGATTGATATCACCTGTAGGTAGTAGTGTATGAAGCTATTCTGATGAAAAGCATTTTAAATTGTTTGCTTTTGAACACAATTACCAACAGTGCTTAAATTCTGAAAATCTTAATCCAGTTGAAATAGATTCACCAGTGTGTGGAGTTGAATCTATCCTGCTTTGAAATTGAGCTGAGTGCAGATGTCAAACTGAACGTGGATGTCAAGAATACAGACTCGATTAAATCCTGACCATTCACCAATGTGTTACCCAAGGCCGGTTGACCTGTTCAACAGAGCGATCAAATGTTTGTGAGCACTTGCCAAAATTCCTTATACCTCAAACAAAAATGTTCAAGAGCGCTCGCTCCACTGAACAGGCCAAAAAAATTAATAAGTAGTTTCTCAGGCCAAAAAATTCAAAATTCAATGCGGCAGGCAGGCCTTTTTTTTTTTTTTTTGAAGCAGGTTTTACACCTTTTTTAAGCCATTTGTTCAATAAAATGATAATTTCTACTAATTCTTAACTTTGTGTTCTCTGAAATTAGTTATAATATGTATTCAACTTTAAATAATGTTATTCCAAACATTTATTTAAAAGTTGATTCATAAATACTGTAAATTTAGAAAAAAATATATTGTTTTTCTAATAGAAACGTCTATCTTAGCATCAATGAAAAGGGGAGTAACTCAATTTTCTTTTCCAACTTGGAAAAATAGAAAATTGAGTTATTTCCCTTTTTAATATGTCAATAAAATTTATCAATGTGGCTGTTTTTGAACTGATGCGGCGGTGCCTGAGAAACTACTTATTAATTTTTTTTGGCCACAGGCCTTTGGTTTTATGTTTGATATCTTGAGCGTTTCCTGATATTGTTTTTAAAGGCAGAGGTTTTCAACCGGTCGGTTTGACTCAGGTAAATTTCAGGTAAATTTGGTGTGGGAAGGAGCTTATTAATCCAAGCCGGTCAGAAACCTTGCCAATGGCAAACTGCTGCCAGTACTGACTGACATGTGAAATGTACATGTATGAAGTTTGATGAAAATATTTTTTAAAGTTAATATGGAAATGAAAAGTGGGGAGGAAAGACTGAGGGAATAATTATGAAATACATGTACATGTACATGTATTTAACAAAAAGTGATTCAGTCAAATCCTCAAAGAATAAAAATCTTCAGCAATTTATTTTTCTCTCCAGTACAGGATATTACAAAGTTATTATAACATTCAAATAGTTCATCTTAAAAAGTGTCAGATAGTGTTGATAAGAGCTTGAACAAATTGATAAACAATGCTTAAAATCTTCATGGAAATCAAGTAAATTAAGGCTCAAAAGTAAAATGTTACTGCTATAATCAATTTTGACAATATGATTGTAGCCAGTTTTGCTAATGCATTATCAAAAATAACAAACATACGCTAATGCTTCAGCACCTTTATGTAAATTCATGAAAAATCAATGTAAAATCAACACAGATTTTGCTTAAATTCAAAGAAATGTTGAAAAATTTCTAGCAAGATTTCTACAAAGGGTTATACACTAAGGGACTAGATAACATGGATTATAAATAAAATGGTAAATACAAATCATTGATAGTTAGATTGACACAACACTTTATCCGATTTCTGGTATTTTATGTCAATAAGTGATTTGAAAAAAAATAATATTTACATCTTTAGACACAATCTCAGATTAAATAGAAATACAATTTACCATCAAAAAAGAAAGAAATTGAAGACGTACCGGTATGCCTTTTTTTAAAGTTCCATCAAAATGAGGATGTAGATGTCATTTTTGCAATAAAAAGGGTAGAAAGGTCTAAAGAGGGAAGGTTTCCTGCATGTTATACCATATATATATAACATTTCTAAAAATTTGTTCAACTAGTGCCTGATCAGCAAGGGTTAATAAAATGTGATTGTGCAATATATATGATAAATACTGGTACATGAACTGAAATACAATGTACAATTTTGTACATATATGGAAGTCTCATGTCTTTCATTTCCCATAAAAAAAATCAACATTTCTATAAGTTTAAAATAAAAATTTTAAAAACGCTAGAACAACAATTTAAAATGTACATACATATAAAAATATTTAATAACAATATTTTACATGTTTTCACAAATGGATATAAGTCACATGAAAAGGAAACAGTCCTTTCTTTTTATTTTACATATACAAGTTGTCAATGCTTTAATGATAATTAACATTGCATAAAATTATTCCCAAGAAGAAAACAAGAAACAGGAAGACTAAATTCACAACAATTATGATTTATCTTTGTTTTATTATCTAGGACATGGGATCTTAACAATTTTATAAAATTTAAGTACCCTAGCTGGTTAGTTGCACAAGGTTTTCTTGACATAGACCACTCCTGTGACTTTAAACCCAGAAGTTCAGCTTCTTTCAAGGTAAAATGTACATGAAATGCTAGCACCAAACCTTCAAATGTCTAATGTAATTTTTTTCTAATTACCGGTAATTATAAAACTTATTTTAATTAGTAATTCACATTCAAATAGTAACTCTAGAACACTAATACATTTTAACACATTGTTTGATATGGTTGGTGTGGGTAAAACCCTACACACACATCTCAACATAAAGGCAAACAATACTTATCTAAGCCTTAACAAATTCCCATATGTGCTTATTTGCCTCCTCGTAACCGTCCATAGTTACCCAATGGCTGGCTCCCTCGATATACTTAATGGTGCAGTCTTTGATGTACTGCTTACTGAGCTCTGGCAGCTTTCTGTTCAAGGCCAGGTCCTCCGTCCCCCAGACAATGAGGGTGGGAACTTCTATTGGTTTGAAGACACTCTTGTCAACCTCTTTCCTCAGGGCTGCCCTGTAGTAGTTCAATGGACCAGTGAATCCATTTCCTACAAAATAATTTTTCTATGGAGGTACATGGTGTTATAAATGCCCAACTATATATATACATGTACTTACATGTACTTTAAGAAATACGCACGCTAACTCTCGATTCCCGCCTACATTTTGGAACCATTTAATTCAATATAAATAGCAATTTGGCCATAAAATCTTTGTTTGATACAAAGAACAGTTCAATGGTAACTGAATAATTGTCTTAATACCAGTGCTAAACAGTAAATTATCCATAATTCCAGCTCTTGAAAAAAGGGGGGTAGACGATATTTTCCACTAAAATCGGAGTTTCAAGCATCACCATATTTTGAAATAGTCTTGGAAATGATTAAATGTTCCTTATATCTTTTCTAATGTTTTAGACAAATAAATAAAACATAAATATATCAATAAAATATAATGTTTCAGATGTAAATCGCTTTGAAATTGTTGGAAAATAAGCATTTTTATCGTTTTTTGTCAATAAATATATGTTCCCCCCGTGTCACACAAAAAGCTTTGGTATGAATTCGTGAAATAACATTCCAAATTACCTGTAAAAAGGAATTTTTGTGACACGGGGGGAAAGATGTTTTAAAAATATTTTCCGTTTTCCGTTGATTTCTATAGTGAAAAACACAAGTTTTACCAAAATTTTAGAGTTATCTCTCTTTGTTTTCCCAAATAAGTAATGTTTTATGAAAATCCATATAATTATCTATAAAAAAAATATTAAAAATTTCTTGAATATATTAACTTTTGAAAATTGACTTGGAGGTAGGCGGGAGAACAATACTATCGTTCGCAGTTCTTTAACATTCATTGGCAGTAAAAAAGAAGTACATATCTAAGAAAAAAAATTATTATAATTGAGAAAGAATTTATCAAGGAAAATCTATGGGAGGTCAAATCTACTGCTACATTGCGAAAAATTTCAACACATTTATCTGCTACATTTTTTTTCAAATTTAATGCGATCATTACCACTACATTTTTATCAAAAAGAACATTGTCGATTTCAAGTCATAATCGCTATGTATCAAATCAGCCAGCAATGCCACTGAATTTAGGTTCCATTCATTATACATGTAAGAGATTTGCAGACAATAGAATGTGACCTTCAAAGCTCTGGAAGTTTTGTTAAGACTGTGTTTTATCCTTGAACAATGATTGGTTTGAAAAGTTTGTAGAATGTTTTATTAAATAAAATGGATTTTAAAAAAACTGAAAAAAATGTATCCTACTCAAAGTTTTATTTTCACCTCCTCATAATGATGAGGGGAAACAGGTTTCATACATGTAACGCTTTGAACTTTTAATCAACCTCTTCATGCATATTAGCCACTGATTAACGAAAGAGGCAATGTAGTGGTAATGTATACTTTTAAATGTAGTGGTAATGTAATTTTTTTGTACCGGTACTGTCCATGAAGCAGTAATGACAATTTTGAAAATGTAGCAGTCATGACACGGACCCCAATTTACAATGAAAGTAAAATGCATGTGGTTTAAGAAACAAAACAATGAGCTGCAGCTCACCACTGAAAACAAGCAAGATGTCCATGGGCTATAATGCACACCCGATTCCCTCTATATATATATATATATATATATATATATATATATATATATATATATATATATATATATATATTTTACCGGTATTCGTAGATTAATGAAAACCCTTTCTATGGTCACCAAATTTAAAATCATTAGCATCTCAATCTTTTTGATGATTTTTGGATGTATTTTTCATATTTATTGTGAGCATACACTGACCCATGATTTTAAAGTTTTCATACCTTTCTTGGCAAAATTGTACTTGTATGCCTCAATGTCTTCTTCAGTACAGTGCTGGAGTTTTTTCCCATCTTTTCCTCTGAACATCACTTCTAACATGCTACAGTTGTTATGTGACAACCAGAACTCAGGCAAAAATGGCATTTGAAAGAAAAACATATACCTGAAATTATACAGAGATGATCGATAGACTGGAATTTAATTCCTTCCATTTGGAAATTCATGAAATGTGAATTTAACTAGACTGCTTTGGCTCATTTGAGCAAAGTGCTGCAATTTATTTAACCCAAAATCATTTTGTTTTATGTGCTAGTGATATTTCTGTGATAACCCTAAATTTCAAGTGTTTGTCATCAAATTACAACACTTTTTTCATACAATTTAAATGGTAAGGCCAAAAAAATTAATCAATGTTTCTCAGGCCAAAAAAATCAAAATTCAATGCGACAGGCAGGCTCTTTTTTTTTTTTTTTTTTTTTTTGAAGCAGGTTTAACACTTTTTTTTATGCCATTTGTTCAATAAAATGATAATACAGTAAAACTTGGTTATAGTGAAGTCCTGGGAACCTGTGAATTTAATTCGCAATATCCGTAATTCGTTATATCCCTATAACAAATTCTATAACCATGCATATATAGCGAACTCGATATATGCATGTTTTCCTTAAAGTTTTACTACTAATTATGTTAGGGAAGCAAATATTACAAAACATACCTTCGATGACCAAGGTTTTATTATGAATTGAATTTTATATTCAATTGTTCAAATAGGTCAGTTCAATTTATCAAATTTTGATATTATTGAAAGTTCGTTATAAAACATGTAAATTTCATTATATTTACCCTCAAGGGGACTCTCAAAATCAGTTCGCTATATCCATAAATTCGTTATATCAGAGTTCGTTAACTTCGTTATAACCGTAAAATTTCACAAAGCTTTGTTAAGAATTTTGTTGGGGACTTAGAAAAACTTTGCTATATCCGTTAATTCGCTATATCCGTGTTCGTACTAAACAAGTTTTAATGTATCTACCAATTATTAATTTATGTTCTCTTAAATTGGTTGTAATATGTATTCAACTCCAAACATTTATTTAAAAGTTAATTAATAAAATACTGAAAATTTGGAAATAAATGTATTGTTTTTCTAATAAAAATGACTATCTTAGCATTTATGAAAAGGGGAGTAACTCGATTTTCTTTTTCAACTTAGAACAAGATGAGTGTGCTACACTATGCGCCCGGCAGCAACAAAGTTCTAAAAAATATTTTTAGCAGATAAATCACAGTCAGGGTCACAAGGTCATTGACCTTGGTGTCATTTGGAAGAGCTTAATTAGTGAAGTAAGCATACCAAATACGATATGAAGTCTCTATCTCTCATGGTTCAAAAGTTATGGTGAAAGTTCTAAAAAGCTATTTTTAGCATATAGGTCAGTCAAGGTCACAAGGTCATGACCTTGGTGTCATTTGAAAGAGCTTCATTAGTGGTGTATGCATACCAAATATAAATTCTCTACCTCTCATGGTTAAAAAGTTATGGCAAAAGTTCGAAAGTTATTTTTAGCATATAGGTCACAGTCAAGGTCACACAGTCATTGAACTTGATGTCATTTGAAAGAGCTTCATTGGTGGAGTAAGCATACCAAATATGAAGTCTCTATCTCTCATGGTTCAAAAGTTATGGAGAAGGTTAAAGTTGACAACAGACAGACAGACAAAAAGACATGGTTCAAAAGTTATGGAGAAGGTTAAAGTTGACGACAGACAGACAGACAAAAAGACAAACAGATAAACAGACAAACAGACAGGACAAAAACAATATATGCCTTGGATCTATCGATCCGGGCGCATAAAAATAGAAAATTGAGTTATTTCCCTTTTCAATGTGTCAATAAAATTGATCAATGTGGCCGTTTTTGAACTGATGCGGCAGTGTCTGAGAAACTATTGATTAATTTTTTTTGGCCTAAAGCTATAATACTGTGTAAAAAGAACATACATGTAACTGTGTTTAAATTTGTAAGAAATTCAGATGAATGATAAACAAGAGGCCCATGGGCCACATTGCTCACCTGAGAAGCTTTGAACATTCCGTTTTTTACCAGATTTCCCCCTTGTAATACATATTGTGACCCCACCTTACCCCACTGATCATAATTTAAACAATTTGAAATCTATACTACCATAGGATGCTTTGATTCAACATTGTAAATCTTTGATTCCCCATTGTGGCCAAAGTCCTACCCCTGGGGGTCATGATTAGAACAATTTAGAATCTACACTACCCCAGGATGCTTCCACATAAGTTTCAGCTTTTCTGGCCCAGTGGTACTTGAGAAGAAGATGTTTAAAGATTTTTCCTTTATATTTCTATGTAAAAATTTGATTCCCCATTATGGCCCTGTCCAACCCCGGGGGGTCATGACTTTAACAATATAGAATCTACACTATCCTGGGTTGCTTCCACATAAGTTTCAGCTTTTCTGGCCCAGTGGTTCTTGAGGAGAAGATTTTCAAAGATTTTTCCCCATATATCTTTATGTTAAACTTTGATTCCCCATTGTGGCCCCGCCCAACCCCCGGGGGGTATGATTTGAACAATTTAGAATCTGCACTACCCCAGGATGCTTCCATGTAAGTTTCAGCTTTTCTAGCCCAGTGGTTCTTGAGAGGAAGAATTTTAAAGATTTTTCCTATATACTTCTTTGTAAAACTTTGATTCCCCATTGTGGCCCCGCCCAACCCCCGGGGGCATGATTTGAACAATTTAGAATCTGCACTACCCCAGGATGCTTCCTTGTAAGTTTCAGCTTTTCTGGCCCAGTGGTTCTTGAGAAGAAGATTTTTAAAGATTTTTCCTATATATTTCTATGTAAAAATTTGATTCCCCATTGTGGCCCCACCCTATCCCCGGGGGTCATGATTTTAACAATTTAGAATCTGAACTACCTAAGGATGCTTCCACATAAGTTTCAGCTTTTCTGGCCCAGTGGTTCTTCAGAAGAAGATTTTTAAAGATTTTTCCTATATATTTCTGTGTAAAACTTTGATTCCTTATTGTGGCCCCGCCCTATCCCCGGGGGTCATGATTTTAACAATTTAAAATCTACACTACCCCAGGATGCTTCCACATAAGTTTCAGCTTTTCTGGCCCAGTGGTTCTTAAGAAGAAGATTTTTTAATGACCCCACCCTATTTTTGTCTCGTGATTATCTCCCCTTGTGAGGGGACTTGGCCCTTCATTTTTACAATTTAAATTCCCCTTCACCCAAGGATGCTTTGTACCAAGTTTGGTCAAAATTGGCCCAGTGGTTCTTGAGAAGAAGTCGAAAATGTGAAAAGTTTACAGACGGACAGACAGACGGACGGACAGACAGCTAGACAGACGGACGGACGACGGACAAAATGTGATCAGAAAAGCTCACTTGAGCCTTCGGCTCAGGTGAGCTAAAAACAATAATGGTCAACCACAAAGGCAGTCCAAGAAGCTGATAAAGAAGTCAATGATCAAAATGAAGCATTCTTATCAAACACACTTTTACGTCAATTACCAACTTTAGGTCAATCCTAATACTGTCCTGATTTATATACTAGCTGGTATGGGTGATATTAGTAGACAAAAAAAAATGAACAGGTCACCCATAGCAAGTTTTCATTCTTTATTTACTATATTCATATCAAAGATAATATTAATGTGTATACAAGAGGCCCATGGGCCTCATCGCTCACCTGAGAACTGTGGCTAGGAAAAAAGCAAAAATCAATGCAATAGTGAAAAGCTTAAATGCATAAGTTGTCCCGACCTACATGTACCCCTAAAAGGGGGGTGGGGGTGGGTTATGATTTGAAATGATCAGGTGAGCTAAAAACTGAGTGGAAAACTGAAATCCTACCAAGACATGAGGAACTGCTTGCGACTGGTCTGCAATTCTTTCACCATTACTGCACCATGTGGGGCATTCATCACAATCAATTTCTTCACCATCTCTGGATATTTGTTGACAAAGTTGAAGACTACTGCACCACCCCAATCATGTCCCACCAATATACAGTCTCTGTAGCCTACACAAAGGGAAAAATTATATGATATGCATAAATTACTTAAAATAGGAGCACACATTAACCTCTCCCACTAATCACTGTGGAATCATTAAAATTCTTGGCAGGGTTCGACACTAACAGTAGCCCGCTGGTCCGGGACAACTGAATATTGAGATCAGGCTACTAAACATGTCTTTAAGCTTGCCCTGCAGGGCTTCTGTAATTTTTTTTACTAAACATCCCCTCGAAGGCTCACCTGACCATTGTTTAATTTTTCATAATGTTTTATCATCATAATTATATTTTTTTTAGTCAAAATGTGAAAGGTGATTCAGAATATCCTAAATGACTGTAAATGTGGAATTTTTTAAGTAGAAAAATACCTTAGGTACAGTAAATAATGGAGTGTCATGTAATTCTACCCAAAATACAACCAGAATGCAGGATTTTGCATCACTATTTTCACACTTTTCAGAGGGAGGCCCTCTACCCCTACCAGCATGAGGGCCAGACCCCCACCTGTACCTACCCATCCCACCCCCTTGTGGCTTTGCGACTCAGCCATCAGCTTTTGACTGCAGCAGTCTGCTGGACAACTAATGCATGAACAGGGTTACTACATGCAGATATTGGAAATTGGTAGCCCTGCTGGCCACTATGGGTTTAAAGTTAGTGTTGAACCCTGCTTGGGGTCCATGTTCATGGATTTCTTAAATATTACACATAAAATTAAATTTGAGAAAAAAATGCTTTTTACTATATTATCAATAAAGACCCATGTTTACTCAAAAAACTCTGACTCAGGGACCATGAATTTCAAAATTTGCTCAGGCCGGGTCCAATGCTGATTACAACCATGTCAACAGTTAGACTGCTTGGTGTTAATAGTAATTTATGGAGGGGGGTATTTCTTAAGATTTATTGTGCTCACTTTTGCTTCATTATTATGTTTTTTTCCCTTAGAGTCCTTACCCAGAGCTGGAATAAGCTGTTTGAGATCCTGACTAAGTTTGTCGGTTGAGTAGTTCATAATGCCACTTGGCTTGTCAGAGTCTCCGTAACCTCTTTGATCAATAGCAACAACCCTACAATAACCAATGGTTAGCAATCTAAATTTCACTGTTAGTCAATAAAGAACCAGAAATTAAAGATACGTGTATTCTTTTTCAGTTATTCCCTTTAGAAAAAGAATTTGAAAACATGCATATAAAAGTTCTATGAACATCAGCATGTAAGTCTCATATATCAAGGATATGTCGAAGTAAGAAATGAAGTCTCAACTCCTCTTTTTCTATTTTATTTAACCTTGATGAATTTTAGACATCTCTTCATTTTATTTTCAGTCCCATTGACTTGTAAATACATTTCTTCAAATCAATTCACAAGTCCCCTTTGCTGCAGATTTGTAATTCATTGATTTGAAAAATTGGAATGAACAACCTTGGACCTATCCCAATTCTTTATTTTTTTTTGTATATGAATTTTTATATACTCCTCCAATCTTAGTCCAAGACCATTTAAAAAGACTTTTCTCTTAATGTCAATGCAGGCAATACTTGGCCAAGGAAAATACACATATATTGAAAAACAGTGATCTGAGTACTTTACAAAATTCTTTTTATACTCCTACCTTCTTATCAAGGTCAGGATACAGTGGACCTTCAGATATCCAGACGCCAGATATCCAGATGCTTCAGTATCCAGACGATTATTCATGGGAACAGAATTTTTTAACATTATTTTGTCTTGTTTAACTGGTGATACGGTATCCGGATGCTTCACATATCCGCACAAATTGACTACGAACCAGAGCGTCCGGATAAATGAGGCACCACTGTCTATAAACTAGTAATGCCTACTGAAACTGTCTGGTCATGAAAAAATAAATATTTTTGTCACAGGTTAATTTAAAGTTCATTTTATACCTATATTCTTTGGAGAATTCTTTGAGCTGAAATCGCCACGAATACCAGAACTCTGGGAATCCATGGACCAAAAGCATTAGTGGCTTCCCTTCAGTTCCAGCAGCCACATAGTGGATCCGAACTTCCTAAAATCACAGAAATTACCAGGTAAAATGTATTTGTCATAAAATATGTTTAAATTAGGACAAGACTACAATAGTGAATACAGTGATTGTACATCTGAACCTCTAAAAACCAGAAGGGCAATGCATGCATAACTGTATTTAATAACTGTATTAAATGTAGTGCAAGTCATCTTCACAGCTAAATGTACTTTCAATTCTACAATACTGGGCATTTATTTTCATGTCTCTTTTGATCTACATTATAAGCATGTCTGCTTTTGAAATTCTTCAGTTGCTTAAAAAACAGCTTGAATTACATATATCATATACCATAATCATCATAAATACAGTTAAACCGAAAATAACTTAATGTAAATTGTAAAATACAGCTCGATCACATATTTTTCCTTATTATACACTTGAATATGAAATATTACTACGTGCCTCGGCTGCCTCCTACACACGTAATAAATTATCAATTCAAGTGTTTTAAGGGTTCACAAGCTGGCACTTAACATTCCACAAGGACTTCCCACAACCTCTCTTTAACCACTTCTTTATCATATTAACCACATTATGTAATGGCGTGTCATTATGACTGTATCATCTAGTCTTGTTTGTCCAAGGCCAAGTTCAAATACTGTATTCAGATTCTGAACAATCTATATCATTTATACAAGTTTGTTCAACTGAACATAATTATGTTTTTTCTAGATAAATAAAACTTTATATGTCTGCCTGAGGAAATCATTTAATCATCATGATCATGACTGCATGTCAACACAAGGAATTCTTAATTTCTCCTAGCTGCAGAACTGTAGCTCTCCGAAAAAATATATTGACAGACAAGAGAGCTACATGCAGTGCCACCCATTAAAAGAACTGTATATTTATTGCACACAAAAACTTGCACTTGGTTCATGATTAATTCTTCAAAATTCTTACCTCAATTGCAAAAAAGTTAAATTTGAAAAAAAAAATCCTTATCTTTCTATCAAGTACTTTCATATTTGACATCTGCACAAAGCACGTTACACCAAATTATCTTGCAAACAAAAATGGCAGTGTAAATAGATGAAATTTCAATCATCTCAATTCTAGGGCCAGGAGGGCTATTAACAACAATTATATAAGAAATTTTTTGTTGTGGAATCAGTGAAAGAATCTGTTAGGATCACATGGTTAGTAATACTTTGATGTGACGGTTTGAAAAACATGGAGATTATAAACCAAGAACCAAGCGCACTTTTTTGTGCGCAATAAATATACAATTTTTTCAGTGGATGGCACTGTAGCTCTCGTCTATCAAATTATTGTTTCGGACAGCTACAGTTCTGCAACTCAATTTCTCCACATATTTGTCATCAGGACACCATACATACTAACACCAATAACATAATTTAAATTTCAGGATTTTGGTGAAGACATTACGGTAGATTATGATCGAGTAACCTTATTCACTAATCACTATATAATATTTTGTAGCAAATGAGAAGACTTGAACCTAGTGACATTTAAATCATATCATCTACATGTATGAATTTTCTCTTCTACCTATTCAAGATAAGATCAGGGGCACTTGATATTGTGATCATTGATAAAAATTTGCTCACAATACTAAATCGGCAAGTGCACTATGTGTCAAACCCTGATATTCCATGTTAGGCATAAGTGCAAAACACCTGCAAAGTACAACACTATTGTATATACTATATATATATAATATAGGATTTTAGTATGCTTACGCTATACAAGTCCTTGCAAATCACCTAAGCATTCAATTAATTAACTTTTAATAAAAAATTAATCACAAGGAGGGACATTAGAACTTACGTCAATGTATTTTGCATGATAATAGTGACTTTAGTGGATGAATTTCTGGAATTCACAATAAGAGGGTTTTAAGTATGTATATATGAATGAAGAAATGTACATAAAAACAAAATGGGAAGTATTAATTCTTGACCCAGAACAAAGAATTCTGTCTGAAGAGGAGGGTCAATCAGGACAACATGATGAATTGATGACTGACATCTTAAAGAGTCTGTACATAAATGCAAATAACTGATTACAACATATGCAGAATGCAAGGGAGTTTTTTTTAATGAGAGAACATATCACATCCTGACAGATGAGTAAATGCAATAAATAAGATAATCCACGACCAAGAAAATGCAATCTCCATAAGGCCAAAATAAAATTGTAGTTTGTTTGGAATTGCCTCCCGCCTCATTGAAATGCCCCCTCCTGAAAAAATTTTATTGACCAAAAGTAGGAAGATTTTTTTATTTAATCAATTTTTTTTTGCCCCTTACATGTATCACATGCACCATAAAAAACCCACTTAAATATAGTGTCAGACCTATGTAAAATTAGGTTTTTTTGTTGATGGTAGATACTTTTTTTAAGTCAGAAAATGTATTTACTGTTTACTGAGATTTTTATCAAAAATTTAAAATTTATCTTCAATTAAAAGAAAAAAAATTTCCCTCCCTCCCTCCTGTGTCTGAAACCCTTCAGGCGGCAATTCCAAACAAACATTTTTTTAAGGATGGCCTAACATTAAGAGGTCATTCTGTTTTGTAGGATAATGAGACAGCTGCTATAACCCACTAGATTCCAAAGAATGTAACCAGAATGCTTGCATGGATCTGCATTCTGCAAGCTTAGTAAAACATTATTTGCTGTCAAGACTCAACCACCCAGAAGAAAGAAAAGAACAAATTGTAGACAAACTTCTCACAAGAACCAAGATAAGCAATCTGCATTTTCTTCGTTTTGGCATTTGTTTATATGTTGTACAGTGTAGAGGGAGTGTGTGATAAAGAACAAATTCATGAACAAAAGATCTACAGTATCTAGTAACAGAACCCTCATTCCCCGGTGTTCTCTCATTAAATGATTTGCTGGGTCACATGTTGCCAGATTGCGTCCTTGCATGCGCTTTAATTATTTTCAAGAGTGTAATCCAGACAAATTGTAAACATTTTAATGATCAGGTTGAATATATCCTCCAAAAAAAAATTAATTAAAATGACTCACCGGTTTTGATAACCTCTCCAACACAAATGAAGATTTTTTATTATAAATTTACTTCTAAGAAGTAATAAGATTATAATATGTTATGGACACAGGCGGCCGTCGGAAACAAATTGAAAGTGTGGGCGGGGAGCTAGGTAATTGAAAGGGGGGCTAAACCCAAAATAACTAATAAGGTACATAAATCCCAGTTTTCAATGCCTATATATCTATCTTTGCAAAAAAAAGTGAGGGGGGGGGGGGGGCTAAACCCCCTTGCCCCAAGGTTCCGACGCCTATGGTGGAAATATTTTTTACAGTTACATTAACTTATCAATATTTTGTATAATGTTTGATAAATTTAAAATTTATATTGTCCATCAGAATAAATGGAAAAGTACTCTTGTTATTATGGAATTTAATATACACACCTTTTATTGCATACAAATCATGACAAAACGACTGTCACAGTGCACAAACAAGTAACAAAAAATGATGAAACTGTTTGACAGGTCAAAATATCGTGTCATGTGATTGTTTTTAAGATTACTGCATTCTATTACATATACAACTAGTGTATATGTACTATATATACATGCATCTTAAATGCAATTTGACATCTAAGATATCCTTCAATAAATCAATTTTAACCAAAGAGAAAGTAGACAGGTGAAAGGTACATGTAATGTTCAGGTAAATGCTCACCTCCAAATGTACATAGCCATGGGTTCCAAGATCTGGATCGTTTAGGCATTCAGGAGGTTTATCAGACTTTGGCTTCTTAAAAAATCCACCAAACAGCCATTTTGGACGGAATAAACATGATATGAGAACAAGAATGGAATAAATACACGACAAAATCGCCACAAATAACACCCGAACAACCTGCTTGATAGACATGACTGAGTGTACAATTTAGAATGAAACTGAACGTCTTATGAACGAGAATTTCCCGGATTTTACACAAAGCGATTTCTCACCACCCACACAGAAAAAAGAAATAAACAATTAAGAAATCCTTTTTTCTAATTTTAATTGAGAGTGCCAGACACTTTATCATAATCATGATATTGATGCAGAGAAAAAAATAATTAAGGCGCAGGTCTAAGATTTTTTAGGTTGTTCCACTCCTAAAAATATTTTCAGAAATTTCTTGAAAAAAAAACAACAAACTTTTCCAAAGAAAACAAAACTGTTTTTTTAAATTACCTAGATTTAGTGGGGATGGTACACACGTGCTTTGTTTCGGCAATAACTTTTTAACCCATAGTAGATCGATCTATAGGTAACATTTTTTTAACACACTCATGAATGCCAAAATAAGATAATTGTTTGTTCGGAATTGCCTCCCTCCTCATTAGATGCCCCCTCCAGACAGAAAATAAGTCTTTACTGTTTACTGAGATTTTTTTATTCACCTCAGTTTTAAAAAAGCCCCTACTCCTGTAGCTGAAATCCTCCAGACGGCAATTAATTCCAAACAATTTTTTTTAAAGGATGGCTTATAAAATGGGTTAAACCAGGGGAAAAAATCTTTCAGAAGTTCAATATTCAAGTATAGAAGCGCCATACTACAGTGACACCATCTGTATATATTGTAAGAAAATTGTGATAATACGTATGTATTAAGCAAATAAAGTATAATAATTCTCTGCCCCCTCCCCCCTCCGTGTTCCATATCCTTGGTTTCTTTAACATCTCAGTGTGACTCATATAGTAATACATCCCTGTTCTCTTATCAGAGAGGGCGAATTTTTATTACAGAAAATAGGTTGGTTTTTGGTAAATCTTTTGGATTTTATTTATTTATTTATTTTGTAATATATTTACCTACGCATATACTCATGCCGCTCAAAGTACTGCTTCAACAATGTGGCTGAATTGAGCTGTAGTGAGTCTAATGCTCTATAAGTCGGAACAAATTTATTTGGTTATGATAATCCATGTCATGGAAGTCAGGTGCCCCAGTACCAGATACCAAAAATTCCAGATTCTGCACGTCCAACACTTCTGTGAAGCGTTGTTTCGGTTTTCATATTTTTTTAAGATTAAAAAACTAGGACAGTTTCAATTAGCTTCTACTTTACGATACATACATTTGCCCGCCTCTTTAATTTATTTTCACCGAAAATTAAACAAAATGCTATGTTGATGTGTGTGTTACTGCTTTGCATTTATGTATTCACCTTGACCTTCCTGTATGGAAGGGACTCAGATAGGTTGAGCCTGCTGCCCACCACCATTTATTTCTGTGAATAAAATATTGTTCATATAAAATTAAAGTTATTACAAACAACTTTTAGTATCAATTCCAGGTGTTTAAAAAACGCAAGTATACAAGAACTTCTGTACATATTTTATTTGCCTCCAGTACATACCATAAATTTTGATAGCTTTTTTTACTGATGTAATACATGTATCAGAGTGTAAAATTAACTCTCTGATCTATTTTTAATTTTTAGTATAAATTCAAAACCAAATGATACATGAACAAATAGATTAAACGAGACACAATTTCAAACTCTGGAGTTTAATTATACACGTATAACACACAGGCAAAAGTGCCTCACATGAATTTTATATGAGATTCACATGAATTTCATGTGAATTTTTAGAATGAGAAATACTAGTAGATGAAAAAGAAAACTTTTGAAATTTATATGAAAACTTCCAATGATTTTGACATCTTTTTCGTATGGATTTTACATGAAGAGAATAAATATCGCGTAAATTAAAAGAAAATTTTACACGAAAGTTCTAAAAGTAATCATGTGAATATATATTATACAAATTAAACTTATTCACATGATTATCGCATGAAAAATATTTGTATTATTTTTACATGAAATTCATGTAATTTTCGAATAATAAAAGATGATAACATGAATATCATAAAATGTGAACCACTTTGTAGTAATCAATCATTAATGATATGATATAAAAATAACAATACGCATTAGATGTTTAATAGGTCATATTCATGACAAGCTAAAGAAATCCAAAATTAAGACATGTATTTATAAAAATAAAACATGACCCTGAGAGAGAGAGAGAGAGAGAGTTTCGATTTAACTATAGAAACGTGAGGTTATTCATGTTCAAAATCGGTGAAAATTTAAATTTGAACTTGAATTTTTTATATCATGTATATCTACACTCAATCTCTTCACAGTATTATTTCATTCAAGCTCAGATACGTCATAAATATCTTAAAATAGAGCATATAATCATCCACACATTTGTTAATATTTCGTGTTTAAGAAGTATAGGACATTATCAAAACCAAGTTAGGGGAGGAGACAGCTTGCCCTATATTGAATAGGTGGGATATGTTAATATATTTCTGTGTGGAATTCCAAAACATGTCTGATTAAATTGCTATATATATATATAGTATGTAATAGGCCTGCATTTGTATATTACATGAGATGATGATAAAACACAATAAAAGAGTGTGTTTTGTTTACACGGCACAGTTTTTGCTGGCTCCGCCCATATACACGGCACAGTTTTTTTCATATCTATAAAAATAAAATTATCCATAAACCTGGTTAAATAAAAGTTATAAATATACAATTTCATTTTGTTGATATAATAATCAGTAATGAGGCATAGTTTTTAAAAGTAGTGCCTTCCACCCTCTCTGGGCAGCCCGAGAAAAAAATCATCTTCCATGGAAATCTTTGTCAAACCAAAAAATGGAAAATGTCCATAAATATCTTTAAATATTAGAGATTTTTTTTTAATATTTTTTTGCTCAAGAAGTATAGGACATTATCAAAACAAGTTGGGGGAGGGGGCTCTTTAATTGAATCGAATGTGTCTAGACAGTTGACCAAAACATGTCTGATTAAATTGCTAAATAAAGTATGTAATAGGCCTGCAGATGAGATGATGATAAAACACAATAAAAGAGTGTGTTTTGTTAGGACGATCATATCTTTAAAAAATAAAATTATCTATAAACCTAGTTATAAACATACAAATTCATTTTGTAGATATAATAATCAATAACTGCTTTGACCAAAAAAAAGAATGGAAACGGAGCCGAACTCGAGATATTTTTCCGCGGGGATGGGGGGGGGGTGTCCAACTTTTTGCAGTATCACTAAAACACTACATTACCCTTATTATACCCTTATTCAACATTTTCTATTTTCTGCAGTAAAACTTTAACATATCTGGAATAAGCCACCACCCTCTCCCTGATGCTACATGCCTGTAATATTATATCACCAAAATATTGATACCTGTGTATCATAATAATATCAAACAAAAAATGCTTTCTTTTCAGAAACGAATTATATAAAATATAATTCTTTACAATAATACGTATACAACTATTGTACCAAGAAATTTAGAATACACACAAAAAAAAAATATACATGGTACATCTACCCAACATCAAAGAAACAAAGATATCAGACCAATGCAAAACGATTTCAAAAGCTGTATGTGATGGTGCTATGTGGTACACATTTAATTTATATTTCTTACATTCATGAATATGTATTCCTTTTGAACAACTACACTCAATCAATAATTTTAACATCAATTTATGTATTTTCGTTATATCTTCAAAAAATATGTATAATGAGAGAACATCTAGCCTCCACAGCTAAAACATAATCAGATATGAAAAATGCAATCATCATTATGGTTTTCTTTAACTTCATTTCTTTACATTGATACAGAAAATAAGCTGCTAATGTTTGCTGATCATGTATGAACAAAATGTCCATACAGGCCATGTAGACACAAAATAAACATGTAAATCACATTCGTATGTACACATGTACCGGTACAGTGTAGTAATGTAAATGTTTAAATCACTGATGACAAAAATTTTGTTTTTTAATCCATATTTGTTTTTCCATTATGAAAATTTTAATTTATCAAGTTCCGTCTTGATCATATTTAAAATTTCAGACGCTTTCTTAATGGCATTTGATGCTTGTTCTTTTGTATAAAATTCTGAAGGAGTTGATCCACTGGCTACGCCGTCAGGGTACCGCATGGCGTCATATGATTTAGTCACTTCCTCAAACGTCAGCACCAGGGACTCAAGTTTATCGTAACCACATCGAGAGGCCAACATCGACAGATCGTGTGTGCGCATAAATAAATCAGCATCTTTTTGGTAAAGTAGAGCCTTTAACGCCTTCTCCACAGCCTTAAAACAAAATGTTCAAATATGTTAACACATTGTCATACTACAAAATGTCCACGAAAAACTAATCTATTTAGACATAGAAAGAATTATTTCTAATTTTTTGAATTTTTATTATAGATTTTCTTTTTTGCCTATGCATGTATAGTTGCAAATTCTATGTCGGTGCATGTTATTTAGAGTGGTACACATATGTATGGGTCACTGATTTAGGGTAAACTTTTTTTGCATCCAAATTGCAATATTAAAATTTGCACAAAATTTTATTCACAACTGTAATTTTCTTTCATCATTATATGCTTTAAAAACGAATTTGAATTTTGAAACTTCAACTTTCATAGCAAAAGAATTTAAAATACACCGGTATGAAACGAAAAGTCTTAACGAAGCATCAACATACACATTACCCTTTCCACGAAGAAAAGTAATGGAAATATTTATATTTCCTCATTCAGATTTAAACAAAATGATTACTTTAATCTTTCATAGTATTAAAGTATTATTGGAAACCCCGCTATACGATACCCATTCCTAAGAATAAAAGCCCATTAAGTATTGATATCATTTTTTGTCTGATTTTTATTACCTGGTGGCATTTGAAACACACCCAATTATGGGCGTTTTCACGACCTTCACTACCCCATGCTGCATCCAAGTCGTATTTTGCCTGGCGGTACCATCTATCCGCCTGACCGGGCTGGGAACCACGTCTGCGGAATTCTTGAAAATAGCTCTGCCCTTCTTCTGGAGGACGATATGTCCGCTTATATTTTGCATAGGATTTTTCACGATTAAAGCACTGCTCATAAAATGATGAAAATTTGAATCCTTGTCCGAATGTTGAACCCGATGGACGGTTATAATTACGTCTTCTAAATCCAGTTCCCGAATCAACTTCATCTTCGCTGTCGTAATCTAAAGTTTGGCCATTTTCAATTCTTTGGATTAAAGAGTTAATATACTGGGTCAGTTTCGTATAATAATCTTTGTTTTCCATATGTTTATCTGGATGATACCGTAAAAGAAGCCGCTTCCATATTCTCTTTCTCTCATTAAGCGGTTTATTAAGAGTGTCTTTCATGATATTTTTTATGTTTTTCTTTTCCTCTTTCAAATTTAAATTTCTTTCACTCTTGACCGACGTATATTTTTTTTCACTCCCTTTGTGTTGTGTATAAATTTCCACACAAAGGTCTCTCTGAGTTTTTCTGTCAAATTTGTATAAACGGGACGCATTTACAACAATTTCATCCATCAGACCTATATCAATTCTATATTTCTTCTCCCACACATTTTTGATGTCTTTTGTATCATCTTCCTTTACCTGGGCAAATAAGAAAACTGGCAAGGAATCGTTTTGCACAATATCATCATCAATTAAAGGATCAAACTGTTCATATCCAACATATTCATTTATTGCAAGTGACTTGAATGAATTTTTCAACAAGTGGTGAAATTTGACTGGAATTTCAGAGCCTAATTCTGGAATGAAAGGTTCATCAGAAGCACAGTCTTCCAGAGAAATAATTTGTTTGCTGTCCAAGAACTCTTTAATGCATTCTGGATTTTCAATAAAACCAAGAACATGAGCCAAATGTAAACAGCTTTCACTTAATTCATTCTTTAAAAGACAGTTGATGATGCGGGTCAACTCATTTGCGATTGACTCTATCCATTTGGTGTTTTCTTGGCGCCTGAAAGAATTCAGATAAATACATACTAAATTTGAGTTCTCTGTGTCAATGGAATATGAAATTTGTGCTTGCTTCTCAGTATTTTTGATAACCTCCGCATTCAGTCTTAATACAGTTGTCAAATTTACCACCTCAAAGACTTTCAACATTTTAAAGATATCTCTGATTTGAGTTTCTTCTATTTCACCACATTCTTTGTTTCTTTGATATCGTTCGTGTCGAACCAAGCGAATGACACTTTTGATAAAATCTTCACAGCACAAAAACTTTCCCAAGAAAGTTGCCCTTTCACTTCTCCATTTATAAGTTTTGCATTCCGGGGATACCTCTTCCACAACAATTTTTGAGAGAAATTTTGGTCTCGTCTCAATTGGAATTAGAGATATCTCTTTTACTGGATCATGCACATCTTTCATATTTAATTCTTTGAACCCAAGAGCATATTTCAAATTATGGTTCCCTTTACAGATACGTTTTTCCAAGACTTTATTGTCAACAAATACTAGCGATTTGCTCGACAATAAGACGTGATCTTTGCTTGGGAGATATAAATCTGATTTAAGTTGCACATCCGGAATTTCTTTTCTTAATTTCTCAAAAAGCAATTGAACGGCTTTGACAGCCATTGTTTTCTCGTTAGGATCAAGGATTCCACCTTTGGACCTCTTATAAAGCTCTTTTAAAACATTTGCGTAATGATTACTGGAAAGTTTTTCGAATGCACCAAACTTCAGAAATACAGCATGATATTGGCCAAAGTAAGTCGGAGCCTTATAGAGATATGGAGGAATTTCATGTTCATCATCCATATTAAGAACGACAATATCCGGGGAAGCAAATGATTTTCTCTCTTTAACAAAAATAAACCGTGTTTCTTTTAATGAAGATATCCTCTCACTACAAGAAATATCTTCCAGATAAGAGTATATTTTCAGAAATACGGAGGATAATGTTGCATCTAAATCTTCATCTTCCTCTAATTTTGTCAGAAAACCTTCACCAAACTGTTGGCAAATCAGTTTAATATGCTTGAAGACTTGTTCCTCGGGTGGTTTTTCGTCATGACCAAGTCTTTGCCATATGTGCTTATCATCAACAAGACTACAGGCATTCTTGTCAAGTAATCCAACAGTTGTCCATAACAATTCCTTGTTTCTAACAAGTTCTGAATCTGCCAAATTAAGCAATTGTGCGGCGGCATGCTGAGAGTGGATATTTATTAAACCTTGCTCCAACGTGTGAGGTAAAATAAAATGAATTTTCTTGACTTCTTCTAGGAACTTTTCATTTCCTCGAAACATATTCTCTTTTTGTAAGGTTTCTATCAAAATTGAGGAATATTTTTTCACCTCATCAGTTAACCTTACCTCGTTTCCAATTTTTTCTACACGTAACGCAAAGAGGATAAATATTTCCTCTGTCACTTTGTCTCTCAAACCACATTTTATGAGAAAGGGAATCCAATCTTTATGAGCAAAGGGTGCAGGAGGAAGTTCATGCTTCTGACAGAGGGAATGATATAATTTTTTCTGTGGATTATAAAATTTCTTTGCTGTATATCTAATTCCATATTGCACAAGAAAAGCCACCTGTTGTAACAATTCCATTATGGAATTTTGCTCACTTTTGGATTTAAATATCAGTCTGCTGATGACGGTATCTTTAAGTGTTTCCATATGTTTCACTATGTCCCTGTCTGGCAAATCACTGAAATGAGGCAATATGTATTTTTGGTATACTTCTACGACATCACAGATATGACATCCCGCCCTTTCATACACACACATCCATTGTTTGTGTTTTAAAAATTGCACAGTTGTTTTTAGGCAAAGCTGATGAAGACCATCGGTTGGTGCTTCCTTCGGAAGCATTACAAAAGTTTTACAACCTTCAAGAGTTTGATACTCATCTAACAGATTTTCATAAAATGGTAAACGTTTAAGCTTTTCTTTTGATTCTGTATCTTGTTTTAAATTTGATGCTTCAGATTCGAAATATTCCATTAAAATTTCACAGTTTGCTTTCATGTCAATATTTTTTGTATTTGACAAGATGCATTCCAATATTTCAAGGACATTTGCTGAATTTGCAACAAAGGAACTTGCAACAATTATGCTGGATTTTTTTAAGTCTTCATTTCTGATTTCTGTTCTATCCAGATAGGGAAGTCCCATTGCTTGCATTGTTTTTGTTACTTCACAATCAAACATATCAAAAATAGATTTTCCAATATTCAGAGGATACAATAGTCTGTTCTCGTATTGATGATGAAACCTGCTATTTCTCCTTACAGGAAGTAATGCCCATTTTCCAAGGTGCAATATCATGATTTCTAGAAAGCATTTCAGATCTCCTCTCCCATGAAATAAGAAGTTGTCATGCAGTCTCCCAATAAAGTTCCAAAATGTTTCTAACCAGTCAGGACAAGGAAATTCTATGTCGTGAAAAGGGACAGGAACTTCATGCTTCATTCCTTCTATCAAATTTTCATTTAAAACTTCACAAAGATTGTCAAGTTCCAATTTACTTATGTAAGGGTTAAATAACTTATTTCTCCCGCACAGGAACGCAAGATTGTGATGTAGCAATCGGTACTGTGATTTTGGAAACATCTTCACATACTCTCCTAGGTTTGTGTAATAGATATTTTTTCCTCTAGTAAACTTTCTGAGAAACCCATCAGATGTTAACAGAAGTGGAGCTCCCTCTAATTCATCACACTTTATTGAGTTATCTAGCAGACAGAATTTTAATATCATCATAACATTTTCTTTACTTTTCATTAGCGTTTTACCAACATGTTTATTTATTGTTAATTGACATTTTTCTTCTAACGTTTCAAAACTTTTCAGGAAATTCAAAACAGATCGAGGATTAATTTTTTCCACAGAAAGATTTGCATGTTTTAAACTTTCGTACATCCACAATGGGGAATTCAACAATTTCATGCCAACGTCCCTTAATAAACAAGCAAACTCCATGCTTTTAACGTTGAACCATTCATCGGTTTCATCCTTTGGAGGATACAAGTGTTTAAAATCTGTTTCCAGGTCTTCAAAGAATACATTTGAACTAATTGCTACCCATCTGCAAAAACGTGTTTCTTTCCGTTTTGAAGAACAGGGAAGATTTGCATTTCTTTTGTCACAATGTATTCATAAAAAGATACTGCTAAATATCGCCAAATTCCTTTTATCTTTGGGATGCATGGAAATAAATTGTTATACCGACACAGCCAATCTGATTTTTTATTCTTATATCTACATATTTCTTGCTTTGAAATTTTGATCAGTTCAGCATAAGCCTTTACGACTACTGATTTCACTAAATGTTCGTTCCATAGGCTTCTTGTATCCCGATATGAATCTACTTCAGGCCACCATATGTCTGTGCGTGTTTCGTTGTCTAAAGCAAATTGACCATTGATATGGATTGGAATTCCTGTTTCAATAGGTAATGGGAGCGTACAAAATGCTTTGTAAAATACTGTTTTCCGTGATTGAGATGATTTCAAAATAGCTAAACCTGCAACAGGAAGTAGTCCTAGATCTCCTGATGAGTACAGATTTTGAATATCACGTGGAACACTTTCTTCAAATCCATATTTTTGAACAACTAACCACTCTTCACAAAAGGTGTCGTCCAAATTTAAAACAAGTTCATAATGCAATTCTTTGTTCATATTCAAATTTTGTTTAAGTTCTGATTTAAGCTGTTGAACTTCACATAGATTTTCTTTTGTTTTTCTTTCGACTGATACTAAACGTCTTCTTTTCATTTTCCCTCTTTTATCAATGGTCGAGATTTGGATTTTTTTCACACTGCTTAAAAACAGAAGATTTTCTCCCATTTCATTTTCAAAGGATTGAAATAATTTTTCAATTTCATGTGTAGTGTACTTTTTTGATATAACAGAGTTTCTGTTCCGTAAGGGAAATCTGAAAAGAGTGCCTTTTCCTCCTTTCCAAACTTCTGTTTGAGTAAGGAAGCACGTCAGTATATCTGGATAACGTTGTCGAAGATATTCAGTTGCATTTGGAAACCTGCGTCCTGGTCTTCCTTTTTGGGGATGAGCGATATATTCGCGAAGGGGATCTAAAACACATAATATTTGATCACTGTCTTTACATAAAAAACATGGAACATCTGTTAGTCGGTAAACAGCATTAAATCCAACTCCATATCGTCCCGTTTTTGTTGGGTCTTCAGATTTGCTTCCCATTCCAAGGTTCTGAATTCCTTGAATATCCTGTTCAGTGAAAACGCTGTCATTGTAAACACATAAAGCTGGTCCTTGCAACTCTTTCCATTTGTCACAAAATACTTTCACTGTTTTATGCATTCTGTAGTCCATGATGAAATGCAGCTCAGAGGCACCCGCATCGTCTGCGTTTTGTAATAATTCTTTCAAAATGCTTATTTCTGGATATCCCTTAAGCAGTTTCTTTAATCTTATCTTTAAATCCTCGTGCTGACCAAAATCAAAGCCAAACTCAGACGATGTTGTTAACAAATCCTGTTCTCTTTTTGACTTTATTCGGGCTAAAGTCGCAACGGATTTTGAAATGTTAGGGTGTAAAAAACACATTCCTGGACTGTCTGGTATCCATTCGCAATCATTCTGACAAAGGTCACTAGCTTTTCGCATTATCCCATTCTTATCTGGGAGGTAAAGTTGAAGGTGAAGAAATTCATAGATTCCACTTTCTGATATGGATGGAAGTAAGGATGTAATACGACACACTGCGTCAAGGGATTTCCTAGGAAGTTTTCTATTTTCGTTTGTCCTTTTGATCTCCTTGAAAACTTTAATAATATCGTTTGTTTCAAATTCATCTCGCACTCCAACTGCTTTCAAAAACCTTTTGTACTTTAAAAGTTCACTTCTTTCCAAATGAAAAAAGAAAGGTTCACAGTTTAATTTTAAAGAAAAAACTATCCGATCTGGGCAAACAAATTTTCCGTCAATTAGAATGCATGCTGTGTTTGAAAATTTGTCTAAACTCAATTCATTTTTATTTTGAACATTGCCGAGTATTTTATTAAAGGCATTATACAAATCCATGCATATCCCCTTCGTATTTTTTTCTATAAATGCATGTTCCAAAACTTCTGACAGCTGGTTCGATAACATGTCGATGGAAACACTGTCAAAAGATCTAACACCCAGACTCCTAAGCAAGATTTCATTTTCCATCTGCTGTTCATCAGGAAGACCTAAAATTAGCCTCTGGGAACCAATGCAGTTTTTTGCTGATGAAAAAAATAGATCATAGGGGCGACAAAGCATAGTATCTGATAGTTTAGAAAGCCGATGATTGCTGCATAATTTCTTTAAAGTTTTGTGTTCTTGAATCTTTTGCAAGTACCAGGGATATGACCAACCAATAGGTTTCTCTTTTGCTGGTAGAAATTGAATGTCCATCAGATTTTGTAACTCGTTTTTCCCAAGATTTGCTATTTTTATAAAACTTATTATGTAGTCAATGCGATCTAAGGCACATCTCTGACACCGTTCAAACAGACTTTGTACCTTTTTTGTTTGCTGAATCAACTTCTCTAATGGAACGTCTTTCTCTTGTTTCATCATTCCCAATTTTGATAGACTTTTTCGAAAATCCTTTTTCATGTACGGTTCTGTAGGAAACACCATGTCTGACTCTGAGAAAAGTTTTGAAATATCTCTGGAAGGATCCACAAGATCTTTCGGACGTCGTTTTTTCCCACTGGGGAGTGTCGGAATACAGTTTATATTACTGATTTTTGCCATTATACTTTCGGTATCCCATTGCAAGATGGTCAATAAAATGTAATCATAATTTGTTTTACATTCATTTCTCTCAACGTTGCCCAAAAAATATTCACATGCAAATATTTCCCGAGTAACTAATTGAGCAGGATCACAAAAATCTTTCACTTTTCTGAACAATTCTACAGGTAGATCACTGATAAACAATGCATCTACTTCAAATTTTGCGATTAAATCTAAAACAATTGTCTTAAGTTTTTCATATTTTTGCAAAGTCGGATCCAAAAATTTGCATTCCTTAAAAGCTTTCCAACCCTTTGATGTCTTGAAAACTTGTAATGTTGAATCTCCTGTTATTTTCAAATAGAATTTTTCATCAAATCTTCTCCAAATATTTTCTGTTTTTGTTGGCCACAACGAATAGTACACATATTTTTCGTTATTTATCTTATGCCTTAAATGCAATATTAATGCAATAAAAGCATTCAGAACGGCATCTTCTGTAAGACAATTGTTCCATACTACATGTTTTGAGTCTTCTTTTTCATCTGATGTCGTAACGAGAAGACGCTGGCGATCAGCAGATATTGAGAAATTACCATTGACATGGAATGGAAGACCTGTTATAATTGGCAGAGGTAAGTAACAAAATAAATGCCCTTCCCTATAAAAGCCAGAAGGCAGGTTACGCATATTTTCGTGCAAAATAATGGAAGATGTTCCATCTTTGATGACAGGAACCGCAGTACAAGCTAGTGGCAAAGCTCCATCACTTTTTCTATCCTTGTATAGGGTTAGAGACTTCTTGTTACCAGTGGACCACGACAACAACCACTGGACTGAAAGACGGGAGGATTTCAATTGAACCGTAATTATTACTGATTGCAAGTCGATGAACGGCTGCGATAGATCATTGTTTCTGAGTTGCCGTGTGGCTTCTTTTAATACATTGCATGGATTTGATAACCAGTCCTTTGTCACACTTAATATCAAATCCATACATTTTTTAGGTGATTCTTTTGTATTTTGGAGGCGATAAAACTCAAGTTTTCGTACATTCTGAGTAAAAAGTAGAAGGTTTCCAGCTGCCTTGCAAATCAAATTGACAAATTTCTCCATTTCATTTGCTGAATATGGTTTCTGGCTTATTTCACTATATTTGGCCTGTGTTTCTGTTCGCAAAGGCAATCGAAATAATGTTCCTTGGAAAGATTTTCCCTCGTGAAATTCTGACGCCTTGAAAACCAAATATGTTTTCGTAAGGAAAAAACTGATCTCTCATTTTATCTAACATTACTCTGTTCCTCAGTTGAAGTTTAATTCCTGGACTTTGTCTTTTTCCTTCCAAAGCTTCGCCTAGGTATTTTTCATGAGGATCAAGGTACACTAAACTCCCTCGGCTTACAAAACTTGGAACGTCAGTCAAGTTGTAAACGGCATTAAACCCAACACCAAATGTACCAATTTTTGTTGTATCTTCCTTCTTTGTTGCCCCACTTAATTTCTGAATATTCTTAAAGTCTTCATCGGTAAATTCTGCGTCATTGTATGCCCATAATGCAGGGCCTTGAAAAGACTTCATGTTTGGATCAATAAGCGCCGCTCTTGCTTCCCTATTTTCTCGTTCATCATAAAGGAACTTTACTATGGTTGCACCAGCATCATCGGCATTTTGAATTATCTCTTTTGGAACAGATAATCCATCTGTATATCCCTCGAGAAGAGATTTTATTCTTAAAGTCAATTTTTCTGATTGACCAAATTCTTCAAACATTTCCTCAGCATCTGCAAGAGTGTACTCTTTTAAAGAACGCGCGCCAAATGCCTTTGCAATATGTTTACTAATTTTTGAATGAACGAAATTCACGTGTTCGTCTTCTGTAAATTTTCTACTAAACCAATCTGTATCTGCGTACACACACTCTTTGGCAGGTTTGAAAAGAATACGTTTTGGGTTTTTTGATCTAATTGGTAGAATTACATCTGGAATGGGATCTTCTTTGGACAGACGTCTCAAAATCTTCTCTATCAAGTCGAAATCCTTATCAATCTCATCCGTCTGAAAAGCTTCTCCATACTTTACTTTTAGTTTTCTGAGAACTTCGAGCAAACTCGCCGGTGTTTGCGATGCGTAGCATTTACATTTTATAAAAAATGTCCCAAATTGTTCTAGTTCCGTGGGCAAAGGTACTAGATAAGGAACTGTGTCTATATCTTTCTTTGTATTCCTTTCAACATAAACTGAACTGATATCCTGAAACTCATGCTCTGTCAAAATAAATTTTCCAAATTCTTCAATATCGAACAACATTTTTTGTTCAAAGAATTGGTAAATTGAAATCACTATTGTCATGTACTTTGAATGTTCCTTTTTTGTATAATTTTTCAACACATTTTGAAATTGTTTACGGACGCTTTCAACGGGAATCTCTTTAACCTTACGAAGAAAAATCTTGCATTCCTCTGTAGCAACAGGCATAACAGATCCTATCAAACTTGCACTTTTTCTTAATTGTAAAGAGTCCATTTTCACTAAACCTTCAGTTTTGAACCATTGAAGAGATTTGGGGTAGTGGTCAACTTTCTCCTTCATATATGGCAATATGTTATACTCGGATACACGATGACATATCTTACTATGCTCTTTCATGACCTGAATAAGAGCCTTTGAAACGGCTCGAAGTTTCTTTCCTTCATATTTTTCTGCTCCAGCATGAATCTTTTTACACACCATCTCTATGTCGTTAACAAAGTTGGTGTCCTTTTGAGTCAGACATCCTATTTGTTGTAAAAGGTAAACATCTTCATCACATGGGAATTTGCTGTTATCAAATATATCTTTCAACACTTTGTCATTTGGATCATATAAAGTTTTGAAAGCTTTATTTTCTCCAGTCCTGTTTCTTATGCAAGGAATATCTTTCACACGATCCACAATATTCTCCCAATTGCACAACTTGTGTTTCTTTTCTAAAATGTAGTGACACAGCCGTCTTTTCATTTCATCTGTTAACCAAACTGGGTTCCTAATCAGCTCTTCTAATGAATTAAAGATAATTCTCGATAAGTCCTGTACATCATCTGAAAGTTTGCGCACTAACTCACTCTCTTTTTTGGAAAATGTGACTATCATACTTTGTATGAATGGTAAAGGAAAATCTTCGTCAGCCATAAAGACAGTTTTACAATCTTCAATTGATGTGAAACATTCGAAGATTTTCAAACTCCGCTGTCTTCTAAAAATGTGCAACTTCTTTAAACTTCGCAAGAGACTTAAAGGAAGTTTTGCATTATTTGTGGCTAAATATCTTTTCAGTTCTTCTTTCTGTTCTCCAGTACCTTGAGCATTGAAATTATCAACACCTATTGAGAAATGCTTGTCAAAGAGAGAAAGTCTTTCTTCTACTGCAGATCGAACATAGCCCTTTCCTGGTTGCAATAAGTGATGATGTAAAAAGTTTTGCTTTACAACAAAAACATTGAAAAATGCAAATATCTCTACCCACAAATTGCCATTCTCAATTCCAGTATTGTCAACAAGGTAATCTGAAAGTCTTCTGAGAAAAACGTCTTGTCCTTTGACAGGAACAATGGGAAGGTGTTTCACTGGGTCTAATGATTTCTGAAATTTTGAATCCATATATTTCCAGACATTTCTAACCCACTCATAAGAAAAAAGGCCTTTCACTTTTGTCTGCAACACATCTTCTAAAAGTTTGATGCAAGTGCTTGGATCAAGTGCTTTAAAGTTGTATTTTCCTAAAATGTAATGAAATAATTAACTAATATAAAACATGAAAGACGTAAGCATTTATATAGAAAGACTTTGAAAGTAAAAATATATATATATATGTATTTTTTTATATAAAAAGTGCGCTAATGCTTTCTTACCTGTTCGGATAATTGCTTGTAAAACCTCTTCCAGCTTTTCAGACTTTTGTCTTGATTTAACAAGTTGATTTTCTTTTCCCAAAAGAAAAGCTTCCTCGCCTTGTTCACAAAGGAATATACATTTCGTGTACTGATTTCCTTGCATGACCTGAAGTTTAAGTACTGCATGTCTTTTATCTTGCGTCTCAATTAGTTCCAGGCCAGCTAAATCCATAGGAATCTTATTTTCGCTGCAGGAATAAATAAGAAAATGAGCTTTTGATAAAGCTGAACATTGTTTGTAGACATCGAAATCTTTCATTAAATCTCGGAGGGCTTGAGGGGATGTTGATTTTATTGACTTCTTTCGACGAATTAGATCATCGAAGACCTCTGTATTTTTTCCCAGGTTTACAAGTCCATTGCCTAAACACTTTCTAAAGAGTTTGTGAACTGCCTCCTTACATTCATCTGAAATGTTTGCAAATATACTGAATGTTGCTTCTCTTGTTTTCACCCACTGTCTTTCCTCTAAACATGGGACTTGTGAGGTAATAAGGTAATCGTCTATAGAATCAACAACACACTCCCATTCTTCTTTGGTTGAACTTCTAGTTGGAATATATTGATAGAATAGTTCAAGCATACCTTGTTTATTATTTTCATTTTCGCAATGTGTTTTGAACTTTTTGAGAAATTCTTTGTACACAATGGGAAGTAATACCTCTATCAAGTATTTATTCCATAGCATGTCGTCCTCCAAATGACTTTCACTCATGCTTTGGTCACGTGATGGCCATTTAATGTGTTGTCGGTTGCTGTCTAAGGCAAAGTAACCGTTCACATGAACTGGTAAGCCAGTTGGGCTTTCCCTGTCTGTTGGCAGTGGAAGGAAGCAGAAAAGCTTTCCATTTGAAATCTTTTTGTCAACTCTTGCAGCAATGCCCACGTACGGTCTATACTTTGAATGTGTACTTCGAAGTAGTCGAACTATATCTCGGTCGGTGCTCCCTCCATGAAAATACTGCAAGATCATCCACTGTTCTTTGGTTGCAGTGCCCAAACGTGTTATTTTGAGACACATTGTATTGTGCATCCAGATTGGACTTTCTTTTTCTAGGGATTGTCCACTTTTCAATGTGTTTTCCACTTCGAATAGTTTTAATTTGTATGCTCTCCTTTCCTCGTTTACCTTCTTTAAGGAACTTTGGTCTATCTCAGCCTTCACATCGATGATGATGTTTTTAGCAACATACTTGTGCAGCTCAATTTTTTCAATATACTTCAAAAATAACAACTCCAATTCCAAATTTTTACTAAAAGATTTTATAAGATCGTCAACTTTGGCTACGCTGTATGTTGTTTCTGATATCCTGGATGCCTTTCTTCTAAGTGGAAACCAAAACAGAGTTCCATCATATCCTGTGGATCGTATGTGATGACTATCAATGCCAAATACACCATCTAATGGAGTGAGTCCTCGTTTTCCACATACTTCTTTATGACAATAATCATTTATCAAAATCCTTTGATTTTCATCTTTTAGAGGGTCCATAAAGAGAACAGTGGTACCACTTATAACACAGCAATGATCTGGAAATATGCATAAGACATTTATCGGATAACATTCAGTCCTCACCCGGGAGTACATGGTATGTACACTAAGCTCATCCCAGCATTAGAAAATTAGATTTAATTGCAATTTTGAACATGCCTTATCCTGACTCTTAAACACATATACTTACCTGTCATGTGAAAAACAGATTTAAAGCCAATTCCAAACTTCCCAACCTTCAGAGCATCTGATTTTTTGTTGCTTTTGCGAAGCATTATGATACCATTCCAGTCCTCTTCAGTAAACTTGGAGTCATTATAAAAGCAGAGTGCTGGTCCCTAAAATTATTTTGCTAATGTTGCATATATTCATAACAAATTTAAGCAACAAATTAAATGATACAATTACTTTAAATGTTTATTTTAAGAAACATCCTTTTACAGTTCAGAGATGTGTTGATCCTGATTACTTATTTTAGAAGAAAATATTTCTATTCAAGCATACTTACGAGGGTTGTTCGATATGTATTGTGTATTGTACGATATCTCAAAAGCATTCAATTCAAATAGTCAAATGGACATTACATCCCTTCAAAGTATTCTCCGTGATTTGAAATACACAATTTTAATCTCTGAATCCATTTCTGAAATGCGTCACGGTACGCTGATTTAGGTAACCTCTGAGGCACTGACTGACGGCTGAGCCAGGGGCCTGTCAGGACTTGTATCGACGACCAGATAAGAACTTTTTAAGTTTTGGAAAAAGGAAAAAGTCGATGGTGCTAGATCCGGAGAGTATGGTGGGTGTGGCAAGAAGGTAACCTTCTCAGACTTCAAAAATTGCTTCACAAGCTCAGATGTATGTGATGGAGCATTATCATGAAGAAGGCGAACATGCCTAAATCCCGACACAGGACGTCGTTTCTGATAATATTTCTTGAGCTTTTTCAGTACAACATCTCGGTAATACCGACCTGTAACACTTTTGCCCTTCGGCACCGGAATATGTACGGCTAAACCATCACAAGAAAAGAATATGCAATAAAGGACCTTCTTTGTGCTCATTGTCCTTTTGGCAACTACAGGCCTTCTACCGTGTTTGGTTAGCCATAATTTGTTTCCAACTTTTCTTACTGGTTCGAAATAGTGAACCTATGTTTCGTCACCAGTATTTATGTTTGCAAATTGTCTTTGATTGAAGTTTGGAAACATTTTTAGCGGTTTGTATTCGTACCTTTTTTTGGTTATCTAATCAATATATAGGGTATCCATCTGGCAGAAATCTTTCGTACTTTCAAAATACGCTTCAAAATGAAATGCACCCGCGATAGCGATATGCCAACAGCTTTGGCAATATCACGAATCGTGTACCTGCCATCACTTTCAATTATTTCCTTGACTTTTGTCTTGCCTGATACAGTCACAGGTCGATCCGATTTTGCTGCATCTTTGACGGACTCTGTGCCAGTCAGAAATTTCTGTCTCCACCTACAAACTGTCTCATAAAGATACCTTATCAGACCCATAAACTTCCCCCAATTGAGTAAAAATCTGTTTTACCGAATTACCAAGTTTTTTGCGAACTTTTATATAAGCTCTAGGTCAATGACTGGCTCTATTGAAATGACGATTATTTTATAACCATATGTAGATGAAGGCTCGTGTTTATACTGTTGGCAAGGTATTGAATAGAGTTATCCAGGCGTATAAATAAATATCGACGAAATCGTGCAAGGCGTTATCGCGCTGTGGTACAATACACAATACATATCGAACAACCCTCGTATACCGAGGGCTTTTTAAATGTAATTTCTAGATTAAATTGTATTTACCCACCCGCTGAAGAAAGTAATGAATTTTTCAGAGTAACTGTACTCACAGATAGATATTTGTTATATGGAGCCCTGATATGGGAAACGTCAGCACCAGGATGACATAAAATCTTGACAACAGAAGCCTCTGCATCTTCTGCATTTTGGAGGAGTTCCTGTGTAAGACAATAATTTATAACTAGTGCTTTCACTTTGACATTTTGAAAGTTAAGTGTGTTTATTATCATGTCATTTCTTTCATACTTCACCTTTATGATCTGTTCATTATCTGGGTAATCATGCAAGATACTTTGTAGTTCGTCCAGAAGGGTATTCCTCTTGAATGCTTCGATTTTAATCTTTTTGTGTCGATTCCCTGAAATATATTTCGTCTAATTCTTGTACATCGTCTTCCTTGCATTTTAATATCGACAGGATCGTTATTAAAATAAATTAAAAAGAGGAAACACCTGTCGGTAAGCTGGTTGTTCATTTGATATTTTCAATACTAAGTAATTTAAAGAAATCTTTTCAGGAATAAAATGACAGACTTTTTAAAAAATTTCAAAGATTGGACAGATTTTTAGAGACTAAAACTTGTTCTACTTGGCACATACTACTATGATACTAGTTAGGTCTTTCCACCTTTCTGTGGAAAGACCTATTGATTTGCTTATGTTTATTATTATTAGGTCTTTCCAGCTTTCTCTGGAAAGACCTATTGATATTCTTCTGTTTCTTTTTTTCCTTTTTCTTTATTATTTTTCCGCCGTGTGATTTTTTGTTTCAAGATTTATCGATTTATCTCCTTATATAAAGATATAAGATTTTAAGTCGATAGAAATGTACTCCGTAAAAGATTTTTGCAGTTGACCCTGCGTATATGAACTTTGACCCCTTTCGGAGTTACGACCCCTTTCGCAATGAAAGCTTGTTATCGCTACTCCTCCGAAACCATAAACCGCAGAGATTCCAAACCTTTATTAATGTTTACGACTGATTTAGTAGACTCTCCAATCAAACATTGCGAAAGGATTCATAAACTCCTATAATGAATTATTGCCCCTGAATGTTTGCGATGTTTACAAATATCAAGAATTTTTCTAAAACGACAAGGCGTAGAGACATGGGGCCAAATGCAAAAGATTTCTTGACCTTTGACCTTAAAATCTAGGTCAAGGTCAAAGGTCAAGGTTTTCCAAAATAGGTAAAATTCAGCATTTTTTATAGCTCTTCTGTTCTTTACCAAATTCTAAACTTCTTTGCATCTTTAGTATGTACTCTTAAAACCATTTCAGAGATTCCATGCTTGTCCCCTAAGATTGAACTCTCTAAAAGTTAGTGCCCCTTTCAGTGTAAACCCTTGTTATCGCTACTCCTCCGAAACCGTAAACCGTAGAGGTACGAAACCTTCTACAATGTCTGCGACTAATTTAGTACACTTCTCATTCTATTAGTGCGAAAGAATTCGTAAACATTTTAAGTAGTTATTGCCCCTGGCAGTTTATGATGTTTATGAAGAACTAAAAACTTCTTAACGACAAGTAGTAAGGACATGGGCCCAACTGCATGAGATCTTTTGACCTTTGACCTTGAATATTAGGTCAAGGTCAAAGGTCAAGGTCATTGGGAAAGTATCAAAATTGCTTATTTACGGGCTTTTGGTTAAAATGACCTTGACCTTTGACCTTGATATTTGACCTTGACCTTTGACCTTTTATCAAAAGTTTAAAAAGATATATTCATTATCTTTACCTAGATTCAGCTTCAAGTGTAAAACTCAAGTTTATAAGGCTAAGTGCTTTTTTGTTTTGGATGACCTTGACCTTTGACCTTGATAAATGACCTTGACCTTTGATCCAAAGGTCACAATCAAGCTTAATTAAGTGGAGGTATTTATAACTGTCATGTCAACAAACACTTATATATTACAACCGCCCCCCCCACCCCCCCACCCCCCATTTTTCTAAAAAAAAAAATCAATAGTGGCATAGAAAATTTTTCTACAACTCAAAAGACATCACAGATCAAGATAAAATTCAGTTTAGCATGTAGAAGACACCTCAAAGACACTGCCCTGAGAGTTTTACAGTGAGTCTCTTAAGTGCAATTAAATTCTAGTGAATATCGGCAAATTCTACATTTTTTTTTCTGTCTGAAATAGAATTGTTGATAAGTATAAAAATTAAATAAAGTTTGTATTGGCTATTTCTTCGATTGTTGTTAATATCACTTGATTCTCCTGCTCTAATACGATATTTCGATACCAAATATTCTTGCTTTCTTTAGTATGTGGAATTTATGTCAATTTTATTTAGATTTAATATTAATGGAATGAATCTAGAAAACGGCGATTTTTCCTGTCAAATAAATTTCCACGCTTTCAATGACACCGTTTTTTTTTTCCCTGAGATGCATGTTTCAAGTTTAATTTATGCTGGTAACTATGAATTCAATTCAAATAGAAATGATTATTAAATCTTATCCATGAATTGACCATATCTGTCAAAACAAACGAGGCCTTTTTCAAATACATAAATTGCTACGCAACCTCAAATGCATGTATCCCCGTTAATACCAATATCATAATTGTAATCGGACCCTATCCCTTACATTTTAACTCGAAAACAATCTCATTCAAACTCACATATACTCCCAGGAGCTTGTCAGAAGTGTCTCAAGTGGAACTCTTTGACTGGTCAATGAATCAAGGAAATTCCGTTAACTTTAACTCGACAATAATACAACACAATTTCAACGGAACCCGTGGCGTAGTGGTTAGAGCGCTCGCCTGCTAATCGGAGGGTCCAGGGATCGAATCCTGCTGGAGCACCTTATTTTTTTTTTTTTTTTTTTTTTTTTTTTGCGTTTTTCTTCGTTTTTTCAACCCAAATGACACGGAAACACTTAAAAAGCTGGAAAGACCTCTTATTGTTCTGTGAACAATAAGTCTCCTAGTTCCTATTATTTTTCTTCCGCTGATTTTTTGTTTCGACATTTATCGAAAAGACTTTTTGTTCATCGTAAAGGTCATTAAAAGTTAGGAACAAATTTGACCCAACGCGTATGAACTATGACCGCTTTCAAAGTTATTGCCCCTTTCGCAAGAAATGCTTGTTATCGCTACTCCTCCGAAACCGTAATCCATAGAAGAATGAAACCTTCACCAATGCCTTCGACTACGTGAAGGGACTCTGGAATCTATTCATTGTGAAAGTATTCGGTGACCCCTTCAATGAGTTATAGCCCCTGAAAGTTTTTGAATTTTAAAAAAAATTAAATATTTTCAAAACGACAAATCGTAGCGACATGGGACTAACTGCATTAGATTCATTGACCTTTGATCTTAAAATTCATGTAAAGGTCAAAGGTCAAGGTCATTCCAAAATTGAGAAATTAAGCTCTTTTTATATCTTTTTTTGTCTTTTAACATATACAAACTGTCTTAGCATCATTATTATGCACTTTTAAAACTATTTGAAAGATTTTATTCGTATCCCTTAAAATTGACCCTATTGAAAGTTATTGCCCTTTGTGCGAAAAACCTTGTTATTGCTACTACTTCGAAACCGTAAACCGCAGAGACATAAAACCTTCACTAATGTTTTCGACTCCTTTAGAAGACTCTGGAATCTATTCATTGCGAAAATATTCGGTGACCCCTTCAATGAGTTATTGCCCCTGAAAATCTTTGAATTGTACAAATAATTAAAAATTTTCAAAATGAGAAGTCGTAAAGACATGGGACTAACTGCGTAAGATTCATTAACCTTTGCTCATAAAATTCATGTAAAGGTCAAAGGTCAAGGTCATTCCAAAATTGAGAAATTAAGCTCTTTTTACATCTTTTTTGTCTTTTAACATATACTTAATGTCTTTGCATCATTAATATGTACTCTTAAACCTATTTCAAAGATTTCATTCTTGTCCCTTAAGATTGACCCTATTTAAAGTTATTGCCCCTTTTGCGAAAAACCTTGTAATTGCTATTGCTCCGAAAAAGTAAATCGTAAAGACATGAAACCTTCACTTATGTCTTATGGGACTTTAGGCACAACTTTTATGTTCAAGTGAGAAAGGATCTGGTGACTCCTTGAATGAGTTACTGCCCTTTAATTCTTTTGTGCTTACCATGAAACCTTATAACTTTAAAACTATACGTCATAGAGACCTGAGCTTAATTACAATGTGACCCTTGACCTTTAACCTTGAAAATAACTTGAAGGTCAAATGTCAAGGTCACCTCCAAATTTTGAATTTTTTTCCTTTTTTTTTCTTCTTTTAAGCCATTCCTGGTTTCTTTTTGATGAAATTTAATTTTAAAGAGATAAATATTACATGAAATTGAAATTCAAAGAAGGTGGAAAGACCTCTTATTGTTCTGTGAACAATAAGTCTCCTAGTATTTAATATTATAATTTTTTTACAACACAAAGAGTAATTCTGTTTTAGCATCTTATTTAATTTTAAAGATATATTTGGAATCTACATGTACTTAAACTAAATGTCTAATATTTGAAAACTTTGGGTGATTCATTGACGAGTCTAAAGCTAGACAAAATCACAGGAATAAATCACAGAAATATATCAGTAGCAAATACCTTACCTTGGCTTGCTATGTCCTCATCGCTCTCTTCAGATGAACTTTCTATCGGTCTCTTGTGGGAAACTGAAACGATTGGGATGTGATGATTTACTATTAACCCAAAATACTCTTGCTTGAATTTTTATTTTGGTTAAATTTATTTCAAGATTTATTTTAAGTATTTCTTGATCACAATTAACTATGATATAAAAATAACAAAAATTAATATTAACTGATTAGGACTAATCAGCTCGATCTTCCAACTCAAAATATAAGGAAAGAAATGTCTCTGCAGAAGTAAAATTTTCACAATCTTCTTAGGAATTCTTCTTTCTTTCAAAATTTGAGGAGAAATATCCAATCTTCGTGTAATTAAGAATCACGAAAAGTAAAAATGATAAATTACCTGAATATTTCCGTGACTTGGGTTCGCTACTACGAGATGTATGTGGAATGGATTGTCTTTTCATTTCTGTGAACTTGAAAAAGTAACGATCTACTGAATCATTTTTTCGTCATAATATATATACATGTATAGTTTTTCAAGCAAACATGGGTAAATACTAGAGATTGCCTAATTTAGTCAACATTCTTTTGTTTCTAGATATTAATCATCTTTAAGGTTTAATAGGCCCCTAGAATCCTTTTAAATGTCAATGATTATGATAAGTGCCAAATCGGTCATAGAATTATAATTAAAGGCAGGAAAAAAAATAAAATTCCTGTTACGTACCTAGATATTAATGTATTGGATAATCCAGTATATATATTTCCATACAGGTTTTACACAGCATTTGTATAGTCTATAAACAGTAACATCGCAAAAAAGCTTTCTCTCATAGTTGACAAATTCTGTGAAATCAAAACGAAAGTGAAAGTTATTTTTGAAAATCATCGTCTACCGACAATAAATTAGCCTAAATCACAGATTTATACTGGTAAAAACTTTAAATAGAATAAAAACATTCAGAAAAATTTTATTATTCTGTCGATTTAATTTCAACTTTTTATTTTATTTGTTGTATATTATAGCGAGCAAATTACTGATAAATATCTTTTATCTGCACTTAATTGAAGTTGTGTTTTAAAAGAAAAAAAATAGTCAATCCTTGTACTACAGTGACTAAATTCAAGGTATATATTTTCATGATTTTGATACACAAACACGCCGTAATTTAAATACTCTAAATTCTATTGTTGCAGTTATCAAAATATTTTTTTCCAATCAGAATCACTAAAGGAACTGAGCACTGAACTAAGATATCTCCAGCTTCCCATATCTATGGCACGCCAAATTCACAAAAATAAGCTAAACATAGTTTAACAATTGATAAACTAGGTTTATCGACTGTAAACTATAGTTTACAAACCGTAAACTATAGTTAACGATTCGTTAAGTATAGTTTTCATCTGTAAAACTATATTTAACGGTTGTTAACTATAGTTTACGAATGCTAATCTAAGTTTATCTGTCTGTAATAAAACGTTAACAATAGATTTTGTTGATAAACATAGACTCACGTCTGTAAACTATAATTTACGATCGTTAACTATAGTTAAGAGTTGTAAACCATAGTTTACAAATCGTGAAACTGTATTTATCAGATAATCTATGTTTTGCGATCGCAAATGATTATTTTCGGTGTTAAGTATAGCTACCGTAGTTTACGGTTGTGAAACGTAGATTATCGCGTTAACTATGATTTTTAAATGTAAAATATAGATTAACGTCGTTTACTATAGTTAACAGTCCGTAAACTGTAGTTTACAACCGATAAACCTAGCTTATCGACTGTGAAACTATCATTAGCTCATTTTTGTGAATTTGGCGTGCTAAACATAGTTTCACAATTGATAAACTAGGTTTATCGACTGTAAACTATAGTTTACAAACCGTGAACTATAGTTTACAATTCGTTAAGTATAGTTTTCATCTGTAAAACTATATTTAACGGTTGTTAACTATAGTTTACGAATGCTAATCTATTAGAAGTTTATCTGTCTGTATAATAAAACGTTAACAATAGATTTTGCTGATAAACATAGATTCACGTCTGTAAACTATAATTTACGATCGTTAACTATACAGTTAAGAGTTGTAAACCTTAGTTTACAATTTTGAAACTGTATTTATCAGATAATCTATGTTTTGCAATCGCAAATTATGGCACGCCAAATTCACAAAAATGAGATAATCATAGTTTCACAATTGATATACTAGGTTTATCGACTGTAAACTATAGTTTACAAACCGTAAACTATAGTACATTTATAGTATAGTATATTTAACGGTTGTTAACAATAATTTACGAATGTTAATTTAAGTTTATCTGTCTGTAATAAAGCGTTAACAATAGATTTTGTTGATAAACATAGATTCACGTTTGTAAACTATAGTTTACAATCGTAAACTATAGTTAAGAGTTGTTAATCATAGTTTCACAAATTGTGAAATTATATTTATCAGATCGTTAACTATAGTTAATGGTTTGTAAACTATAGTTTACAAATCGTGAAACTGTATTTATCAGATAATCTATGTTTTGCAATCGCAAATGATTGTTTTCGGTGTTAAGTATAGTTTACGGTTGTGAAACATAGATTATCGCGTTAACTATGGTTTACAGATGTGAAATATAGATTAACGCTGTTAACTATAGTTTACGGTTTGTAAACTATAGTTTACAACCGATAAACCTAGTTTATCGATTGTGAAACTATGATTATCTCATTTTTGTGAATTTGGCGTGCCATAGCAAATGATTGTTTTCGGTGTTAAGTATAGTTTACGGTTGTAAAACATAGATTATCGCGTTAACTATGGTTTACAAATGTAAAATATAGATAAACGTTGTTAACTATAGTTTACAGTCCGTAAACTATAGTTTACTACCGATAAACCTAGTTTATCGACTGTGAAACTATGTTTTGTTCATTTTTGTGAATTTGGCGTGCCAAAGTTCACGTTTTGCTCTAAGAGACCCAAAATAAATGTCAGATAAAAACAAAAGTATGACAGGGGATGCATATTGGCAATATGTAATAAAGTATCATTAAATTTTATTCAGAGTTGTACATATAAGAGGAGTTACGGATAAGAGGTTTGTACCACAGGCGCTTGTTTAAAAAAGTAAGCTTATTTTTATAATATATAATATTATATATTAGAAAACTAAGCTTACTGTATGAAACAAGCGCCTGTGGTTTGTACCCTTCAATAATATAGAAAGAATGGCATTGTCCTTGTTTTAGTATGGGTAACTCAAAACATAGGCGCTTGGTTATGTACAGGATGGTGTATTTTGTGTATTATGTGTTTTTCTATGTGTGTCTGAATACCCTCATTAAAATAAAAATAAAATTTGCGGAAATTAACACTTTTTAAAAAATGTCATATTGACTGTATATAAAAAGTACAAGAAGAGGTACACAATGCCACTATGTAACAAAGATTCTATGAAATTAAGATTTCATTCAGTGGTATAAGAAAACTTGCTGATAAAATATGGGTATCCCAAAAGACGGACGGACCTCCAGATCACTATCATTTTATATAATCTCTCACTTTTCGATCTGGGTATTTTAATTGAATTTTTGCTTTGAATTACACAGGCCAAAACATGACATTAAATAAACAAAAACAAACTAATTCAGAGAATTCGTGTCCCCCGCTTAGGGAAAAAGTCGGACCCCCCTGACTGAATTTGTAGAATTATTAAATGTGTACATGTACACTGAAGCGAATAAAATACATGTATGTCAATATGCATATAAAGATTTGATTGCTTATGCTTTATTATCTTTTTATATGAATATTTATCACACTGTAATGATGATTTTATAACCTCATAAATTTTTCATTTCACATGCTGAATACTATCATTTAGTAAAAAAAAAAAGGAAAGTATTTAAAAGTAAGAAAAAAAGGGATCGTCCGAGATTCCATCCCGGGACCTCTCACATGTGGAGCTAGAGACATACCACTAGAGCATGGTATCGCTTTATCTGAAGTGAAGTATATGCAGAACTAAAGTCACATACATGAATATATTCATGTTCGGTATTCTCAAAATTTTACACAATCCATGGTATTTGATTTATTTAGCCTTTATTAAACAGTTCTAGTATATGTAATAAGAACTAGTTTACGAATGTTAATTTAAGTTTATCTGTCTGTAATAAAGCGTTAACAATAGATTTTGTTGATAAACATAGATTCACGTTTGTAAACTATAGTTTACAATCGTAAACTATAGTTAAGAGTTGTTAATCATAGTTTCACAAATTGTGAAACTATATTTATCAGATCGTTAACTATAGTTAATGGTTTGTAAACTATAGTTTACAAATCGTGAAACTGTATTTATCAGATAATCTATGTTTTGCAATCGCAAATGATTGTTTTCGATGTTAAGTATAGTTTACGGTTGTGAAACATAGATTATCGCGTTAACTATGGTTTACAGATGTGAAATATAGATTAACGTTGTTAACTATAGTTTACGGGTTGTAAACTATAGTTTACAACCGATAAACCTAGTTTATCGATTGTGAAACTATGATTATCTCATTTTTGTGAATTTGGCGTGCCATAGTATGGCAAATGATTGTTTTCGGTGTTAAGTATAGTTTACGGTTGTAAAACATAGATTATCGCGTTAACTATGGTTTACAAATGTAAAATATAGATAAACGTTGATAACTATAGTTTACAGTCCGTAAACTATAGTTTACTACCGATAAACCTTGTTTATCAACTGTGAAACTATGTTTTGTTCATTTTTGTGAATTTGGCGTGCCAAAGTTCACATTTTGCTCTAAGAGACCCAAAATAAGTGTCAGATAAAAAATAAGTATGATAGGGGATGCATATTGGCAATATGTAAAAAGGATCTGTGAAAGTATCATTAAATTTTATTCAGAGTTGTACATATAAGAGGAGTTACGGATAAGAGGTTTGTACCACAGGCGCTTGTTTCATACAGTAAGCTTAGTTTTCTACTATATAATATTATATAGTAGAAAACTAAGCTTACTGTATGAAACAAGCGCCTGTGGTTTGTACCCTTCAATAATATAGAAAGAATGGCATTGTCCTTGTTTTAGTATGGGTAACTCAAAACATAGGCGCTTGGTTACAAGATGGTGTATTTTGTGCATTATGTGTTTTTCTATGTGTGTCTGAATACCCTCATTAAAATGAAAAAAAAATTCGCCGAAATAAGCACGTTTTAAAAATATAATAAAAAATGTCATATTGACTGTATATAAAAAGTACAAGAAGAGGTACACAATGCCACTATGTAACAAAGATTCTATGAAATTAAGATTTCATTCAGTGGTATAAGAAAACTTGCTGATAAAATATGGGTATCCCAAAAGACGGACGGACCTCCAGATCACTATCATTTTATATAATCTCTCACTTTTCGATCTGGGTATTTTAATTGAATTTTTGCTTTGAATTACACAGGCCAAAACATGACATTAAATAAACAAAAACAAACTAATTCAGAGAATTCGTGTCCCCCGCTTAGGGAAAAAGTCGGACCCCCCTGACTGAATTTGTAGAATTATTAAATGTGTACATGTACACTGAAGCGAATAAAATACATGTATGTCAATATGCATATAAAGATTTGATTGCTTATGCTTTATTATCTTTTTATATGAATATTTATCACACTGTAATGATGATTTTATAACCTCATAAATTTTTCATTTCACATGCTGAATACTATCATTTAGTAAAAAAAAAAAGGAAAGTATTTAAAAGTAAGAAAAA